ACAATTTCACAAACGCATTGTTACCAACCATTGCACCATTGTTATTCCGGGTCTGGGTCTATCAGACCCGGAATAACAATGGTTCAGTTAAAATAAATTAAGTAAAGTATGGGGCTATTTATTAAAAATATATATTTGGTCTTTAAATATGAATATTGAAAGATGATTTTGGTTAGCAGTGGACACTTATAGGCCGACGGTAATGAAGGAATAGTAAAACTTTTAAAAAAGGAATGCTCGAGTTTTGTTATGTGTCGAGTAGCGGCATCTGTTAGGCATACACACAAACTACATCAACACAACAATAAACGGTTTTTCTTACTACGCAACATAGATGTCACTACAATTTTACGTTTGAATAATGCAGTGTATACTTATATTCTTTGTTGCAATTAGGTAGTTTCCTAGGTCAAAAATAAATAAATTCGACGTTTCAATTCAATAAAATATTGAAAAATAACTATACTTTCATTCATCGATCGATCGATACACTAAGTTTTAGATAAGTATTTGGTAGCTAATTATTAAGAAATAAGTAAGCTATTTGATTGTAACTCAGTTTTTCATACAAATTTCATAGAAAAGTGTCGTTCTTGACATTTAGATAAAAGTATTGAATTTGACTACTTAGTTGGAAACTACCGTATTATACGAAGCAAATCAACAGTCATACTTACAAAAAAATACGTGAAAGATTAACGCATAAAGAAATTATCCTCTTCACGTCCCATCAACTGTCGCGCAGAAGACACTCCGGCCACCGATGGCCGACACTCCGGTAAACGCGAGTAAATCAGACCCGAGCGTACGGCGCTTCGGCCCAATAGGGCTGACCTTTTTTCAATCAAATCAAATCAAATCAAATCAAATTCTTTATTTCAAATAGACCAAAAAAGGCACTTTTGAACGTCAAGCAAAAAAGATATCATAAGATTTAACTTTATGTGTCAGTCTGTCCGTCTGTCCTCTAGTGAAGCTATTTGCTCGTTCCAATAAGTGTAGATTCCTATGGAGAAGAACGAGCAAGAAACTCCATGGTTACTCTTTTTCAATCACTTTTTACAATGCATTGTTACATAATTTAGATAGTTCCATTATGTGAGATTTTATGATACAAGTCGGCAAACGAGCTGACGGATTGCCTGCCTGATGGTAAGCAATCGGCGTCGCGACACCCGCAACACCAAAGGAGTTACGAGTGCGTTGCCGGCCTTTTGGGGATAGGGGTTGCGGATATAAGGATCGGAAAGGGATAGGGGAAGGGGCGGGATTGGCTCTCCGGTAACCCCACTCACACGGCGAAACACAACGCTGTGGTTTTTTCGCGCCGGTTTTCTGTGAGGCCGTGGTATCACACCGGTCGAGCCGACCTATTCGTGCCGAAACTTGGCTCTCCCACACTCAGCGTGGATTATGGGTACAAGCACACTGTACCAAGTCCTGAAGAACAAGGTGGTTTAGGGTGGGAGATTACACTGAATGACCCGCCCAAATATAATAAAACAAAAACCGTACACAGATATCGTCATAGGATTTTTTGTGAAGGGAAAATCATCAAATAACTTCTCCTGCACAGGGTCGGGCAGAGGGAGTGTCAGACTCTTACTGACTAAAAACCCCCCGTTCCTTCTCCTGCTCTGGGCCGAGGTCGCGGTGCCTTATTGCGCTTACCCCCCACTCCGAGGTCATTGGCTAAATAATTTTCTCAAGTAAACAGCTTATTTTTAACCGACTTCTAAAACTAACCAGAGCAAACAAAAATAGTGTAATGATATTACCTATTTTTGTTTTTACCTTTACACTATTTTTGTTTTACTTGACACCGAATTCAAGATTATAAAATGGTTATTAATATTATTTTCTATTTAACTGAATGAAAACATATTGTAGATATTAATTTCTACAAAGAATTTTTTTTTTCGGTTTAGTTTTTGAGGTAGGTTTTTTTTATTAAAAGTTATCTATACTAATATTATAAAGGGGTAAAATTTGTAAGTTTGTATGTAGGGGGTAATCTATGGAACCGCTGGTCGGATTTCCAAAATTCTTCCACTAATAGATAGATACAATGTTCCTGAGTGCTATAGGCTAAAACATCACGCTACGATTAAATGGAGTTGAGCACCGGGTGAAACCACGTGAGAGTAGCTAGTGTGTAGATAATAAAATATTGTCTTGTCAAATTTCTCTGTATTGAGGTCAACTTCTCAACGACGCACGCGTAATAAGTTTTATCAGAGAATTTAATACCAGAATAGACAGAAAGAAAGAAAGAAAAACCATTTATTTCACACACAAATGACGCAAAAAACAAACACACACGAATATAGCTAAATAGGGACAAAACAAACAATGAACATCAAAAAAAAAAAAAAAGAAAAGCACTGCAATTGCGTCACTCATGCGTGAAAAAGGGCAGCGCTCAGCATAAATGCTGTTTCTCGCGCACGCAGGCACGAAACAACAGCGCTGGTTTTCAGCGCTGACCCTCCACGCGTCCTTGCCTCGGGACTATAAAATACTGACGCCGTTTCGGCATCACTAAATAAAATAAGTATACATATATATATAATCAGTTACGTACACAATTAATAAATGTTAAAAAGCAAAAAGTAAACTAAAAAAAATAATCAATTATTTACATATATTTATTAAAATTACTCTAAAATTACATTTTTAAATATTACTATAAAATAAAATGAAATAATATTTAAAAATATAAAAGTAGAAGCCAGCCAGCAGCGGGAGCAAGGTCCAAGCTACCGGCAGTTAGGGCTCCAGAGACAGGAACCTCCTCACAATACGTGCCGTTTCAAGGAGGACTGCCTTCTGTATGAGGCCCTTGATCCATCCGCCTAACGTCAGCCTCTTAAGGTGGTTGTCGAGGCTTCTGGGGACTAACCCATTTGCCGACACAACTATCGGCACAATGATAGCCGAGTCCACACTCCACATGTCAACATTGGTCGGCGAGTAAGGGCAGCTCGCCGCCCGACCAGAACCAGGCCCGAGCGTACGGCGCGTAGCGTTCCGCGCCCGACTCAAAGAGCCATTCGACCACCACAGACGGGGCCCTAAAGGGCTGATGTTCAGCCGGGGTTGCGGGGTAAGCGCAATGAGGCACCGCGACCTCGGCACAGAGCAGGAGAAGGAACAGGAGGGTTTTTAGTCAGTAAGAGTCTGACACTCCCTCCTGCCCGGCCCTGGGCGGGAGAAGTCATTTGATGATTTTCCCCTCACAAAAAAAAACATGTCAACATTGAATCAATTATTATTATTGTTAAAAGTGACTCACATTATTCAATGATAATATGTACTTAAAATAATATTTATTTATGAGACATTATTTTTAATAAGCCATGTCTTAACAATCAAATGATAAGAGCTTCATTGAAAACTTCTTTATATACAAAACAAAGACGTAATTTCTATATGTCCATCCTAATACTTGTTATTATTCCTGAAAAACTTAGTTAATGCTAAGTGTGGGATAGCTATGCTTCGGCACGAATGGGTCGGCTCGACCGGAGTGAGACCACGGCCTTACAGAAAACCGGCGTGAAACAACCACAGCGTTGTGTTTCGCCTTGTGAGTGAGGTTTCCGGAGGCCCAATCCTTCCCCTACCCCAATCCCAAAATCCCCAAAATGCCAATCCTTAAAAGGTCGGCAACGCACTCGTTACTCCTTCTTTGTTGCGGGTGTCCATGGGCGACGCCGATTGCTTGCCATCAGATAATCCGTCTGCTCGTTTGCCGTCCTATCACATAAAAAAAAATGACAGCATTGTGGTTGCGAAGCAAGTACACGGATTACCTGATGGTAAGTAATCAGCGCTGCTCAAGAACACACAACAGGACTCAAGGAACTTTTAAGATGGGATACACTCGTCTCGACAAGGTTTGAAGGTAGTATCGCTTCAGTAGAATGGTGATTCTTCACATCAATTAAAAAAATATTAATAATGTCATTATCCTCAACCGAAAATTAACGAGTCTGCTGATTAAAACACAGATAATTATTTTATTAAATTAAATCTCACTACTGCTTACAAGCAACCGATTAAAAATATTGTATAAAATAAATTACTAAGATGCTTAAAAACCTGGGAGGATAATGACTTGTTAAATAAAAGTTAAGGTTTTTTGGAGAATCACCCATCATATTGCCGGCATCCGAAAGATCAATCCTTATTTTTTACTGTGTGAGACAGGTATTTATTATTTATTTATTATTGCTTAGAAGGTACATTTTACATAATAAAAAGTATAAAATGTCCAACAAAACTGTATACTGTATTAGTTAGTTGTTCGAAAAGACAAAGTCGTACCCAAAACTTTACTTATCACTTCATAGTATAAAACTCATAAATAATATCTACTTCAATACCTAAATATAAGATTTACTCCTTAATTTCAATATTATTATGTTTTTAAACAAAAAGCGCTTCATCCTCTCCTCAAAAAACTAACTTGCTGTGCCCGACAGGGTCCATAATTGTTTCTCTGTAATTTACCTACCAGCCTTGTATACATTATGGAATGCAATAAAGTATTGAGAATTGCTAAGTCGCTTTCTCTGTCCCTATATCCCTATGTATGCTTAGATTATAGCTTAGATTTTTGTAATGGATAGATCGATTGAAGAGGAAGGTTTATATGTATAAGAATTATCCATTAAATAGTAGAAGAAATTCTATACTAATATTATAAATGCCAAAGTAACTCTGTCTGTCTTTTCTTCACGCCTAAACTACTGAACCTATTTCTGTGAAATTTGGTACAGACATAGTTTGGAACTCGAGAAAGGACATAAGATTTTTATACCAAAAATCTGCAGGTCACTGTTCAACGCGAACTAAGTCGCGGGCAAAAGCGCGTGTTAAATAAATGTCATCAAATTATTTTTAGTGTTTAAAGGATTATCAAAGCTTTGAGTATTAAAGATAAAGTCTATATATAAAGAGCAAGATTTCATATTATTTTCATTGAGTATTTTGTGTTACGATAGTTCTTAGTGATGATTGCTTTGGCTCAATTCGTTTTCGTATTATTGGGAGCTACAATCGTTTTAGGTAAGTCGTCTATTTTTTATGGAATAGGAGACATACAAGCAGGGCCTCGAGTCTGCTATTACAAAAGTGTCAGAATAGTAGATCCAATAGTAGATAATAGGAGGTCCAATCCTTCCCCTACCCCAATCCCTTCCCAGTCCCAAAATCCCCAAAATCCCAATTCTTAAAAGGTCGGCAACGCACTCGTAACTCCTTCTTTGTTGCGGGTGTCCATGGGCGGCGCCGATTGCTTACCATCAGGTAATCCGTCTGCTCGTTTGCCGTCCTATCACATAAAAAAAAATCATTGGTTTCAAAATTGTTGATTTTGACAAGTTTGATAATCTACTAACACGATAGCGTCATCATGACTTTCCAATACCACTTCATTGAAATAATTCTTTAGAACGGTAATCTCGTACATAATGACAAATGAATATTTGACATAATGCGGTAAATTAATAAAAATAAGTCAGTTCCTTTATTCAATGACTTACGTTTTGAATATTAATGTGCAGTTATTGTTTATAATTCGTTACAAGACATCTCGTACTATAATTATATTACGACATCGCCGAACGCCAATGATCAGCCATTTTGAATTAACAGATTACGAACTTTTAGCATAATGACAATGGAATCTTGTAGGAATGACAACACTTTGAAAATAGTAGACTCGGGCCCCTGTTGGATTGACCGTAAGCGATCGGTGCCGCCCATGGACACTCATGAAAGCAAAGGAGACAATAGCCGCTTGCCGCCCTTTTGTGGGATATTAGGGAGTTAAAAATGAGGGGATTTGGGGATTGAAGATGGTGGGGAAAGAAAATCTAGGGTATGTTTATAAAAGGTTAGAAAAAAGAGTTCGTTGGGTCAGCTAGTAAAATTTAAGTATGGAAGTCATGTTTCGGTGCGAATGGCCACGGCCTCACAAATATCTGCCGTGAAACAACACAAGCGATTTGCTTCAACGTGTGAGTGAGGTTAGTGGAGGTCCAAACAACCTCCCCTTATCCCTAAATCCCCAAAAGGTCGGCAAAGCAAACGTAACTCCTCTGTTCTTGCCAATTTTTTTTTTTTTTTTATAACTTTGCCCTACTTTAGGATTTTCTCCTGTGTCGTGGGTGCGGTTACAAACATACAATTCACATACACATGAGTTGTTCCGTGCGGGAATCGAACCCGCGACACGTTGTACGGCAGCCAGTTGTCCAGCCACCGCACCAACCGTGCAGTCATTGCCATGGGCAGCGCTGATTGCTTACCATCCGGGTATCCGGCAACCCGTTTACCGACTTATAACATACTAGCAGATCCAGCCACGCGTTGCTGTGGCTAAGGTAAATAATATTGTGACTATAAATTGAGATGTAAGCTATCCTATCTTTCAAGTTGAATCAAAATGCGCACGGAATGCAAATAAAATTTTAAATCGGTTTAGTACAAACACGTGACACGAAATTTTTATATATAAGGATTTTGTTTTTTATTTTAAATAATAAACATAAAAAAAGTGTCCAGAAATCTATAAGTCAACAAGGCTATGCCAGATTTAGGCGTCGAACCTGTGACCTTGTGTTTACCTGTCAATGGACCATTTGAACAGCTGATTACATAATAATTGTTATAACATTTATCCTTGAAACAAATATTGGTATATTTGCTCAATTGTAAAAACAAAATCTTGATACTTTAAAGCAAGGCTAGTAACATTTTTTTATAGGCTATTGTGTGTCCCACTGCTGGGCAAAGGCCTCCCCTTTTTCCTTCCAAATTTCTCTGTCTAGAGCGATCTCCGGCCAAGTTTGCCCCGCGTACATGATCAGATCGTCCCACCACCTTCGCCGTGGTCGACCTCGACGGCGTCGACCTCCTTCTGGTGTCCAGTGAGTGACAACCTTCGCCCATCTGTCCGGGTGCATTCGTGCGACGTGGCCAGCCCACTCCCACTTCAGCCTGCCTAATACCTATACCATGGATTTTTTATGGAAAATAAGATACGCCGCATGACCTGACCTGACCTGACCTGGTGAAGCAATCGCCGCTGCCCGTGGACACTTATACCAAACGAGTTACAAGCGGGTTGCAGGCCTTTATTGGGTTATAAGGGACTAGCTTTTGTCTGCGACTTTGTTCGCGTGGAATAGTTTAAAAACTATCCTATGCCCTTTCTCGAGTTCCGAACTATGTCTGTACCAAATATCATAGAAATCGGTTCAGTAGTTTAGGCGTGAAGAAAAGACAGACAGACAGAGTTACTTTCATCATCATCATCATCATCATCAGCCTATAAATGCCCACTGCTGAGCAAAGGCTCCTTCTCATCCGGAGAAGGTTAGAGCATTAATCACCACGCTTGCTCAATGCGGGTTGGCGATTTCAAACTTATAATTAGAAATTATAAGTCCAGGTTTCCTCACGATGTTTACCTTCACCGTATGTCAGTGGTGTCTAAATATTCATAGAAAGTACATATAACTCGGAAAAAGTCACATTGGTACTTGCCAGGTTTCGAACCCGCACCCTCATGCATGAGAAGCGGGCTCCTTAACCTACGGGCCACCACGTCATTAATGAGTTACTTTCGCATTTATAATATTAGTTTGGATAAGCGTTGATGATGATGATGATGATGATAGCCACTAAGCTCTTCCACTGCGGCTTCATTTTACTCATTAAAATATTTCTCCATCAGCTCTCCCAAACGGTATCTTCATCCCACGAACCAGCCTTCGCTATCAGCATATACAGGACGACGTAGGCAGACTCCACCTTATAGACCTCTGGGCGCCAGACACAGATTTCTCTGCCAGATACAACCCAGACATACAGAATCAATACCATCTTTTTACCAGGTAAGGTTCATCATCATCATCATCATCAGCCAATAAGTGCTCACTGCTGAGCAAAGGCCTCTTCTCATACGGAGAAGGTTAGAGCATAAACACCACGCTTGCTCAATGTGGGTTGGTGATTTCAAACTTATAATTACAAATTATAAGTCTAGGTTTCCTCACGATGTTGCAAAATTCCTACTTAAACATCATACAAAAGAACTACTCCCCCCTACAATTTTTGAAAGTTCCCCTCGATTTCTTCAGGATTACATCATCAGATCCTGACCTCATGACAATGGGACCAAATGGCAAGTATACCCTATCAAATAAAAAAAGAATTTTGCAAATCGGTCCAGGCGTCTTCGAGTAATGGGTGTACATATATAAAAAAAAATACGCTTTTTTGAAGTCTGTTAAAAAACGTTGCCCCGCACTAGAATTCTGTCATGTGTCGTGGGTGCGTTTATAAATATACAAATTCATACTTATATACACAACACACCCAGACCCGAAACAACAATTTAATTATAAGTTTGAAATCGCCAATCCGCATTGAGCAAGCGTGGTAATTAATGCTTAATCCTTATCCGTGTGAGAAGAGGCCTTTGCTCAGCAGTGGGCACTTAAACTAAAAAAACTAAAACTTTGTAGACAAAAATGAACTTTCTTCCAGGAAGAACCCTTCAGTTAGTCAGCCCTTAGTCCGAGGCCTCGAAGACCTTGTAAAGTCATCCAACTTCGATGCTTCATTAAGAACTGCTATCCTCATCTACGGTTGGGGCGATGATGCCCGTGGAAGCTTCAATGCTGCTGTTTTAGCTGGTAAGTTGTGATTTTTTTTTTGTTTATTTAATAGGTCGGCAAACGAGCAGACGGATTACCTGATGGTAAGCAATCAGCGCCGCCCATGGACACTCGCAACGGAGGAGTTACGAGTGCGTTGCCGACCTTTTAGGGATTAGGGATTTGGAGATTTAGGGATTTAGGAGGGATTGGGGGAGGGGAAGGATTGGGCCTCCGGTAACCTCACTCACACGGCGAAACACAACGCTGTGGTTATTTCACGCCGGTTTTCTGTGAGGCCGTGGTATCGCTCCGGTCGAGCCGACCCATTCGTGCCGAAGCTTGGCTCTCCCACACTTAAATTAAAAATTGAAAATTTCTTAGTTTCACTTATATTGTAAAGTCGCTTGACAAAAACCCCCTGTTCCTTCTCCTGCTCTGTGCCGAGGTCACGGTACCTCATTGCGCTTACCCCGCAACCCCGGCTGAACATCAGCCCTTTAGGGCCCCGTCTGTGGTGGTCGAATGGCTCTTTGAGGCGCGCGCGGAACGCTACGCGCCGTACGCTCGGGCCTGGTTCTGGTCGGGCGGCGAGCTGCCCTTACTCGCCGACCGCAGGCCCGTGCTTACGGTGGCCGGAGATCGTCCCTCGATCCCCGACGCCCGTAGTGTCGCCAGTTGCGGCTGCTGGGGCGTGAGGAGGAGGATTGCTCCCTCACGCGGGCCGCCTCTCTCTTTGCGAGCATGACTGCTTTACAAAAGGAGGAGACGGCGTCCCAGTTCCTGTCACTCCGCACCATGGCCTCGACTAAGGCCGGGCGCGAGAGGTCGCCGCCGCCGATCACTTCCCTGAGGATACGGCGGTGCTCAGCCCAGGCAGGGCATACCGCTACCGTATGCTCCACCGTATCCTCTAGGTGGTCCTCACAATGACGACACTCGGGCGTTTCCTCCCGCTGAATCCGAAACAGGAACCTACCGAAGCTGCCGTGCCCGGTAAGCACCTGCGTCAGACGGAAGGTGAGGACGCCGTGGCGTCTCTCAAGCCAATGTTCCCCCCGTGAGATGGCAGCGCTGTAACGTCAGGTCCAACTACCTGTCAAAACACATACACGATTTATATTTTTCGATTTTTTTTTTTTGGTTAATTTATTCTTAAGAACGTTACAAACGGAATATTGTTTTCCAAAATGCCACATTGCAGTGCCTATGTGTGCAAATAAAAAAGGAGGACATAAATTCCACACAGAAGATAAAAGCCGATTAAAACAGTGGCTTGTAGCCATAAAAAAATCAATAACACTTCCAAATACATAACATTTTATATACGTTCGGTAAGAATCTGTGCTATCTGACAGCTGTTTGGACCTGACCCCGAAGAAGCGCCGCCTGGCGGCAGAAAAAGTATCGAAATAATAATAATATCGTTTATTTGCATGAAATATGGTGCTTACAGATCTCACAATACAATACATAGTACTTCACATTTCGCGTACTAAATTCAGCATGCAAATTTAGGTTGTGCGTGCTTAGGTTGTGTGTGAAAGTCCTCATTGTATAAATCATAGAATCATAGTAGTATCGGCGCCATATTAGACTGCACAATTGACGCTATGGCTGGTCAACCGGTCGCCGTGCAACGAGTCGCGGTTTCAAATTCCGCACAGAACTACCCCTTGTTGTGATCCAAAAATTGTTGTTTTGGATGTAAGTGTGATGTGTTTGTGAAATTGTATGTTTGTAAACGCACCCACGACACAGGAGACAATCCTAATAGAGGGTACTTTTGTATTTTTGGACATGAGCTCGGTAAAGGTTAGTCCTTGATCTTTTTCTTTTTTCAGCCTTCTTAGCGGCAGAAGATATGAACGTGATCGTAGTCGATTGGAGTGCTGGAAACAGTGGCTTAAATCTCGTCAGAGCAGTCCAGAACACCATATTGTCAGGTACTTATATTAAGGGTCTGATACGCCCATTTGAGCTGACTGCTGCTGCCGACAATTTTAACAAATCAAATCAAATCAAATCAAAATCATTTATTCCAAATAAACCATAAATAGGTACTTTTGAAACGTCAAAATAGAATAGTAGTCTGTCAGTCTGTTCGTCAGTGAAGCTAGGTGCTCGTTCCAAATTGTAGTTTCGAATGGAGAAGAACGAGCAAGAAACTCCATCGTTACTCTTTTAAAAAAAATATTTGTTTTACAATTCATCAATAATACATTTTTATACATTACTGTACCCCTATGTAAGAACAATGCAGAGACAAGTTGTTAATAAAAAGGAACAAATTATGGTATATTTAATCTATCATTAAAATTTTAATCCTTTGTTGTCTCGTACATGGCGCTCACATATGCGTACTCACAATCCAAAAGAATGCTTCTATATAAACTCATTCAAGGTTTCAAAAAAAAAACTGAAAAAAAAACTTTCAAACAAAAACTGCTATCATCGGTAACCTTATTTTTTTGCATGATCAAATTTCTTCTCTCTTCTTGGGTGAGCCGAGAAGGAGTGTCTGGCTCTTACTGACTAAAAATCACCTCGTTTCTTCTCCTACTTCAGGCCGGGGCGATTTTTATTACGCTTGACAAAACACTGAAGGTCAGCCCTAATGTGCCCCATCTGTGGTGGTCTGCGACAGCAAAAAGTGGTCTCACCACTGCTATGGCAAAAAATCCGGCCCTTGGTTAAGACATTTCAGTAAAATGAAGTCCTGAACGTCTGCGAAACTGACGCGGCAGAGTTTTTTTTATGTATAAGGTCGGCAAACGAGCAGACGGATTACCTGATGGTAAGCAATCAGCACCGCCCATGGACACTCGCAATGGAGGAGTTACGAGTGCGTTGCCGACCTTTTAGGGATTAGGGATTTGGAGATTTAGGGATTGGGGGAGGGGAAGGATTGGGCCTCCGGTTTTTACCTCCATACCTATCCCATGACGGTGATCGGACTGTGGACTCAGCCCGGAGTAGGAGAAAGATCAGGGGGGTTTTAGTCAGTAATAATCTGTCAGTCCCTCTCACCTTACCCTGGATCAGAGACGTCATTTCATGATTTTACTTCCACAAAAATGCCTTCATGGAATACCCACGGATTATGCGTATGGCCATGACCCTCTAGGACGGAACATCGCGCGAGCTGAGCGCTGCCTCAAATATGGAGGTCATACAGAGGCGATCAACGATCAGGACAAATGTCTTTAAGAAATATATTTTCCATGTTTAATTATTCCCAGGAGCATCAGTAGTTCGCTTCATTCTCTGGCTGAACAGCATCACTGGAGCGAACCTTTCGCAGTACCATGTGGTTGGCTACAGCCTGGGAGGGCATCAGGCTGGAGCTGTAGGCAAAAACCTTGGAGGGATGGTTGCTTACATCACTGGTGGGTAAATGTTTTATAAAAGTCAAAGTCAAAATCAAAATCATTTATTTTAACTAAGCCCTCAATAAGTAATTTTCAAACGTTAAAATAGAATAGTAGTCTGTCAGTCGGCTCGTCAGTGAAGCTAGGCGCTCAAATATAGCAGTGACCTTCTACACGATCATCATCGTCATCTTCATCTTTATCATCATCATCATCATCTATAAGTTTTCGTCTACTCCTAGATTTAAGTTCTCCAATGGCATGCCAGTGAGCTCGAACTCCATCCAAACACTGCCAACAAATAGATAATTTCTCTCTACCTAGCTGGAGGGCAAGCTACGTTTGCCTAGTAGCGCAACGATCATCGGCTCTTTGACAAATATGACCTACCCCTTACCACTTCAGTAAAGTTACCGGAGGCCCAAACCTTCTCCTCCCCCAATCCCAAAATCTCCAAATCGCTAATCCAAAAAACGTCGGCAATGCACTAGTTACTCTTCTGTTGTTGCCGGTGTCCATGGGCGGCACTGATTGCTTACCATCAGGTAATCCGATTGCTCGTTTGCCGTCCTATCATTTGATTTCTGTAGTGGTCCAATAGGGCTGTTGTTCAGTCAGGGTTGCGGGGTATGCGCAATGAGGCACCGCGACCTCGACCTAAAACAGGAGAAGGAACAGGGGAGGATTTAGTCGGGAAGGCCGCTATCTTACTAGGCGTTTTACTAGCATTGACGTCAATGTATGCCAAAGATTACATTTGATAGAGCAGGACGTCATGATTGTACCTGTTGCTAAAAAACGAGACGTGACTTTGAATTCGCGTTCAGCGGACGTTAATGCTTGCCACGCGACATCGCGGCGTGACACATCCTCTCGTCAGACCCTGGGCGGGAGATGTCATTTGATCATTTTCGCCTCACAAAAAAAGCCTTCTTATGCGTCGTAAATCTCATTTTACAAAACCTTTACAGCACTGGATCCAGCAAGACCTCTCTTCGAAAACAATCCAGATAAGTTTGCATCCACCGATGCAGTTTACACAGAAGTTATACATACCAACGGAGGTGGACTAGGGTATTTGGAGCCGCTGGGCGATGTGGACTTCTATCCCAATGGGGGTGTTAAAATGGCTGGATGTCTTACTAGCTTGTGCAGTCATGATCGGTAAGTTTCTTTTTTTGTGAAATAGGAGGAAAAAGAGTTGACGGATGACCTGATTGTAAGTGATCAGCGCTGAACACCATCAACATCTGCAATATCACAGGTCTCATAGGCGAATTTCAGACTGACGTTATTTGAAGGAAGAGAGCTTAAGTGTGGGAGAGCCAAGCTTTGGTACGAATGGGTCGGCTCAACCGGAGTGATACCACGGCCTCACAGAATACCGGCTTGAAACAACCCACAACGTTGTGTTTCGCCGTGTGAGTGAGGTTACCGGAGGCCCAATCCCTCCCCTTCCCCTATCCCTTCCCAATCCTTATATTCGCAACCCCTATCCCCAAAATACCGGCAACGAACTCGTAACTCCGTTGGGGTTGCGGGATTGCTTACCATCAGGTAATCCGTCTGCTCGTTTGCTGACTTATACCATAAAAAAAAGCTTGGGAAATACCGCCGTCGAAAAATCATTCCAAAATTTTGCTGTGCGATTCAGAAAATTCACGATCTTTTTCTAAACTGCGAGTCCCACTGATGTTTAAATACACTTAGGGCAGATTTTTTAATAGTCAGGTAAATATTATCTGAGGAATAAAATTGTTGCTGTCACTGTCTTTTACAAACATTGTGACGCGACAGCATCATAATTATTCCCCAGGTAACTTTTATCTAACCATTGAAAAATCAGTCCTTAGATAGTAAAATAATTGTATGTCTTTTTTGAAATTATTTAAATTTCATTCAGCTTGATTCTGCTTAAAATAGTCACAATGCTCAATTATTTTTCGTGTGAGAAAAGGCCTTTGATCAGCGATGCGTTGCTTATTTAGTACTATTGCCCGCAGATTTCATAGTATTGTTTTTCTCAGGGTGTTTCATTACTTTGCCGAGTCTATCCGGGGAGGAGTTTTCACAGGTAGAAAGTGTAAGAGCTACCAGCACGCAGTCAACGGCGACTGTCCTTCAGAAGACACCTTACTCATGGGAGGAGTCAAACCTAAGACCGGGTAAATAAAACTACATTTTATATTAAGTTGGGGAAAAAGTCCATCTGTAATAAAATCTTTTTGGCCTCCCGACTCCTGACATCCAACTCCCGACGCCCGACACTCGACATCCCTTCCAACTACCTGACTCCCGATACCCGACTCCCGACTCCCGACTCCCGACACCCGACTCCCGACGCGCGACTCCCTGCTCCTGACTCCTGACTCCCTATTAGCTACTCCCTTCTCTTGACTCCCGAACCCTGACTCCTGGCTCCCTGCTACCGACTCCCGACGCCTGACTACCGACGCCCGACTCTCTACTCTCGACTCCCACCTCCCGATGCCCGATTCTCGACTTTCAACTCTTGATTCCCGACTACCGACTACCGACTACCGACTACCGACTACCGACTACCGACTACCGACTACCGACTACCGACTACTGACTCCCGACTCCCGACTCCCGACTCACGATTTGCGGCTTTAAACACCCATTTTTGACTTTTACATCGTTAAGGATAAGATCAGTAGAAAAATGAGACGGCTTATCGATTGTAATTCAATATTTTTCCTATATTAAGTTATTATTTCAATTAAATAATTATTAAAAACGTGTTCTGAGTTGCAACTCGACACTACTACAAAACAAAATATAATGTATAAGATGGAATACTACAATAATTAAATTTTAATCTTTCAGGTACTCCGGCGTATATTATTTGCAAACTAATTCTTGGCCGCCTTACTCGCGCGGATAAGAAGAAAAAATTACATTCATAGGATACTATATGCCTTTGTGCATTGCCATCCTCCTTAGTTCCCATTTGGTGGTAGCGTGATGTTTTATAGCTTATAGTCTTTCATTCAAGATAAATACTATCCAACACTGAGGGAATATGTTAATCCAAACCTGCAATACGGTAGTTTCCAACTAGTCAAATTCAATATTTTTATCCAAATGTCAAAAACGATAATTTTCTATGAAATTTGTATGAAACACTGAGTTATGATGTCATAGTAATATTGCGTCAAATATGTAGCTTACTTTTTAAATAAAGAAAACTACGTTTAAAAAAACCGACTTCAAAAACAAAAAAGTGTCAAATAATTAAAATAGATATTTTAATAGCACTCTTACGTACGCGAAGCTAATACTTTTAATATTAATAATAAAACACTATCAATTCTATGTGCTACCCATTCATAGGTTTGAAGTCGGTGCCAAGCCTAATACATAATATAATGAGCATTTGATTGATGGCCTTAGCGTAGAATCAGAAGTCTATATGGTTTCGTTACATGCGAAATTATATATAGCATAGAAAGATATTCGGGTGAATTATGAATTCTGAAAGTTTTCTCGTACTAAACGTAACTCGTGGGTTGTTAAAAGTAGTAGTAGGTAGCTTCGTTGTTGGTTGTGGAAATTTCGTCCTTTAGCAGTTAAACAGTCTTAATTCTCATTTAGTTTTATTCTGTTTAGGGCTTGGCACCGACTTCAAACCTATGAATAGGTAGCACATAGAATTGATAGTGTTTTATTATTAATATTAAAAGTATTAGCTTCGCGTACGTAAGAGTGGTATTAATATATCTATTTTAATTATTTGACACTTTTTTGTTTTTGAAGTCGGTTTTTTTAAACGTAGTTTTTTTTTTACTTTTTAGTGTCTGTTACAAGTAAGTAGCTATGTGTAGGCCTGTGAAAGGAGCCGCTCTATTAAAAAATGTAGATTCCAAGAAATGGGACAGTTCTCATCATCATCATCATCAGCCTTTTTAATGTTCCCACTACTGGGTCACAGGCCACCTCTCTAGGAGAGGAAAAGTTCTTATCAATATAAATAAATTAAGTCCAAACACGAGGTCGCTACTGTAAACCGTTGAGGAGTTCCCTAGACTGTCCTTCGTCTTTATCATCAGATCTCCTAATGAGAGTCACAATCCATCTACATGTAAAGTTCTTGTCAAAACGAATTAATTAAGCTCACAAGGAAGCTGCTATGAATCGTTGAGGAATCCCCTCGACTGTCAATGGTCTCCATCGTCAGGTACACTGCAGACCTTCAGTTGTTATAATCGATACAGATACAAAGTTTTCATCAATATAAATGAATTAAGTTCAAACACGAAGTAGTTACTGTAAACCGTTCAGGAGTTCCCTGAGCTGTCCTTCGTTCTCATCATCAGACCCTTAATGACAGTTACGACCAACCCTGGTGCAAAGTGCTCGCCAATACGAATCATTCAAGCCCAAACACAAGGCAACTTCTTCTAATAGTCAAGGAGATCCCTCGACTGTCTTCCAGCTCCAACATCTGGTCGACTTCGACCTTCGTCAAGTTGTAGTGTTGTTAAAGGCCTATTTAAACATCATACAAAAAAACTTCTCGCCCCTACAATTTTCGAAAGTTCCCCTCGGTTTCTCCAGGATTCCATCATCAGGTCCTAACCTCATGACAATGGGACCAAATGGAAAGTATACCATATCGAATAAAAAAAAATTTTGCAAATCGGTCCAGGCGTCTTCGAGTAATCGGTGTACATACATAAAAAAAAAATACTCGTCGAATTGAGAACCTCCTCCTTTTTTGAAGTCGGTTAATGAAGTCGGTTAAAAATAGCTAAAAATATCTAAAATTTAGTGTATCGATCGACCGATAAATAAAAGTACTTATAGTTATTTTTCAATATTTTATTGTATTGAAAAGTCTAATTTTTTTTTTACCTAGGAAACTACACAATTGTGAAGAGCGTTCAAACATAATATGAAAGTTTTCAGTTTGAACTTTGATAATGTTATATGTATATATTTTAATAAAATAATAACAACAAAAACATTTTTTAATTACCAGTACCAGTGTACACTGGTCAGTATGTTCCTATAAGTTTTTGACAGTATGGAATTTTGGATAGCTCAAATTAGATTAAAGCCACTGTTAGCCGCAATCCCATATAAAATACTACGATCACGTTAATATCTGCCATTGATAAGAAAGCCGAATTAGAAAAATAAACAGAAGCTTTACCGAGCTCATATACAAAAAAAAGTTCATCATCATCATCATCATCATCATCAGCCTATAAGTGCCCACTGCTGAGCAAAGGCCTCTTCTCATACGGAAAAGGTTAGAGCATTAATCACTAGGCTTGCTCAATGCGGGTTGGCGATTTCAAACTTATTGTTACAAATTACAAGTCCAGGTTTCCTCACGATGTTTACCTTCACCGTATGTCAGTGGTGTTTAAATAATCATAGAAAGTACATATAACTCTGAATAAGTCACATTGGTACTTGTCAGGTTTCGAACACCCTCATGCATAAGAAGCAGGCTGCTTGGCCTCCGGGCCAACACGACATCAGTCATCATCATAAAAAAGTTACCCCTCAGAAAATCCTCCTGTTTCGTGGGTGCATTTAATAGTAGCGTGATGTTTATTAGCCTAAACACTAAGGAACATTGTAGCTATCTATCAGTGAAAGAATTTTGGCAATCCGACCAGCGGTTCTAAAGATTACCCCCTACATACAAACTTACAAATTTCACCTCTTTATAATATTAGTATAGATGTAACTTATATCTGTTTGTGATTAATACATGAAAGGTCGACAAACGAGCAGACGGATTACCTGATGGTAAGCAATCATCCAACCCATGGACACCCACAACATCAGAGGAATTACGAGTGCGTTTACGCGCTTTAGGGGATTGGGTGAGGGCAAGGATTGGGCCTCCGATAACCTCACTCACACGGCGAAACACAACGCTGTGGTTGTTTCACGCCGGTCTTCTGTGAGGCCGTGGTATCACTCCGGTTGAGCCGACCCATTCGTGGCGAAGCATGACTCTCTTAAACATAAGATATTGACAATTTGAATCGAAACATTTGTTAATACAAACCGTTAATTTGACGCACATTTGTTTTAAATTGACGTAGGTTTTACGAAAAACATTTCTAAATTTATACATATATTATGATGGGTTGATAATAATATTTTTGACAAAGTATTGTACACACACGCTTATTAGGTATAGTGACGTCAATACGTAAGTCTTAATCAGCCGGTTAACACGGAAGAATTGAAGAGCCATTTTGTTAAGGCAAAGCTAAAAACATTTGCCCGGGTCTATTGACGGCGCGTAGCGTTCCGCGCGCGCCTCAAAGAGCCAATAGACCACCACAGACGGGGCCCTATAGGGCTGATGTTCAGCCGGGGTTGCGGGGTAAGCGCAATGAGGCACCGCGACCTCGGCCCAGAGCAGGAGAAGGAACAGGGGGTTTTTAGTTAGTAAAAGTCTGACACTCTCTTCCGCCCGACCATGGGTGGGAGAAGTCTTTTGAAGATTTTCCCCTCACAAAACAAAAATGCCCTTAATTATTACCGATCCCCAAATCTCCATAAATAGTACGGCAATGCACTCGCAACTCTCTGTTCTTGCGGGAGTCTTGCTTACCATCAGTCAAAGTCTAGAGTTAAAGTCAAAATCATGTATTTCAATTAGACCAAATTTTAAAGTTAAAAAGTATCAGTCTGTCGGTCAGTCCTCTAGTGAAGCTATTTGCTCGTTCCAAAGCGTATATTCCTATGGAGAAGAACGAGCAAGAAACTCCATGGTTACTCTTCAAACAGTTTCAGGTTATCCGCACACTCATTTGTCGACTTGCCACATAATAAAATAATTTTTAACAAAAAAAAACCGACTTCAAAAAGTAAACTAAAAAGCGAAAAAAAAAACTTTGTTCAAAGTAATACATATTTTCATTAAGTTAAATAGAAAATAATATTTAATAACTCATAGGACTATCTCCTTTCCAATAAAAAAAGAATTATCAAAATCGGTTCATAAATAACGGAGATATCGTCGAACAAACATAAAAAAAGCATATATACGGTCGAACCTCCTCCTTTTTGGAAGTCGTTTAAAAAATAACATAATATATGACGACAATTTTAATCATAATTATTTTTAGACATACATAATGTTATTGAAGGCTTAGTACTGCAAATCTTTTTTTTTTCAATTACATAATGAGTAATATTTGGAAAGCATTTGGCATCTGTGTAAATATGTACCAAATTCCTTGAGAAAGACTAACAAAATTATAATGACACACGGCTAAATCTGGAACTAATCTACATTACTAATAAAATTCTCGACATGACACGACACTAGCGCCACTGGCAGCTGCATTTGTATCTTTGTATTTTTATACGGAGATTCTTTCTTGAAAATTTTTTTTTGTTATGATAATTTAGGCCTTATAACTAATAGCGTTAAAGGTTATATTAAAACCGATTAGTTACAAATTTTAATATACGTTTCACATAATTTTGTTCCTCAGATATGCTTGTTATTATAAATACATTTAAAAAAAATACGTTCGGAAAGAATCTGTACTATTTGACAGCATACGAAGCGCCACCTGGCGGCAGGAAAAGTATCGAAAATCCTCATTCACAATATCACTACATAGTATAAAACAAAGTCGCTTTCTCTGTCCCTATATCCCTATGTATGCTTAAATCTTTAAAACTGCGCAACGGATTTTGATGCGGTTTTGTTTAATTGATAGGGTGATTGAAGAGGAAGGTTTATATGTATAATAACATCCATTAAATAGTTGAGAAATTTAGTTTCAGCATTGCATCCGTGCGAAGCCGGGGCGGGTCGCTAGTAATACCTAAATTACTTATATTATAATGTCGATTTTAACTGCTTATTAGAAAAAAACTAGTTAACTGTGGGAGAATCCATAGTTTTATTAATGTCTATTACATTCATATCAGCAAACGAGCATGCCGATTACCTGATGGTAAGCAATCAGCTAAGTTTAGTGTGGTGTCCTCGAGGTTAAAAAAGCGCTTCCCATGCATAAAGGAGCGGCTCCGAAACCTGGCAAGTACCAATGTGACTTTTTCCGAGTTATATGTACTTTCTATGATTATTTAGACACCACTGACAAACGGTGAAGGTAATCATCGTGAGGGAACCTGGACTTGTAATGTCTAATTATAAGTTCTCCTCAAACCTTGTCCGTGTGAAAAGAAGCCTTTGCTTCGCAGTGGGCACTTATAGGCTTATAGGGAAGCAATCGGCGCCGCCCATGGAAATCCACAACACCAGAGAAGTTACTAGTACGTTTACAGCCTTTTGATTAGAAATTGACGAGGGATTGGGTCTCTGATTCTCTCACAAACACGGCGAAACACAACGCTTGAATTTTTTCACGCCGGTTTTCTATGAGGCCGTGGTATCACTCCGGTCGAGCCATGTCGAAGCACGTTTCTCCCACACTTAATTAACTCACAGTCGCCCAATAACCAAGAGTGACAAAAAAACTGACAAAATTATTCATAATTCTATCTATCTAAACACGGCTCTTCAATCTACAATACAACCTTCACGTGTACACACAAAAATATTCACCTGAACAGTATTATTAAGAACATGTGTTTTTCGTAGAAACAAAAATATCTATTGTTATGCTAAAAAAAATTTTCCGTCCCTTTTGTTTCATAGGTTCCGAATTAAGTTCAAACGCAAATATTAAATCTGTATATAAAGGCGACAATTTTCGTTTAAAAATCAGTTGCTTGGTCGCTTTCAGATCTAAAACTTCATCAAAATGAAATTCCTCATCGTCGTTGGATTCTTGGTAAGACCTTTTTATTATTATTCTTTACTAGCTTTTAGTCTATTCTACCTACCTTACTCTACCTACAAGGCCGACTCTACCTACCCTGCACTACCTATATAGCCTACTCTACCTACCCTGCCTTAAACTACCTTCCCTAGCTACCCTACCTACTCTATCCTATGTCCTTCACCCAGCTCTTAGCTACTTCCTTACTAATTCTCAACCAAATCGGTTCAGCCGTTCTTGAGTTACAATCATAAAAAGTATAAAATATAAAACCCAGCTACGACCAAAGAAACGACGCGACGCTGAAAAAGTATAAAACAAGATTTTCAGAATATTGAAAGGCGTAGTCAAACGTTGTCAAAGCGCTACGGTAGGTTGTAATGTATCTGTTAAAAAAACCGCATCGAAATGCGACTAGTAATTTTAGAGATCCAAACATACATGGATATAGGAACAGAGAAAGCGATTTTGTTTCATATTATGTAGTGATCTGGTTTTCACATTCCCTCACTTTTTTTCCAGGTTTGCGGAGCTTTCGCCCTGCCCCGTGAGTATTATAATATCAATTTAAATAATGCTGTTTAAGGAAACTATAGCTATGATCTCTTTCCACCGTACGGCGAACAAGGGCATTTCACTGCCAAACCAGAACCAGACCAATTGGGACCATAGATGGGACCCAACAATGTCGAATTAGCTAGAGCTACCGATCTTCAATCAGGAGAAGGAACGCCGGAAAATTTTAGTCAGCAAGAGTCTGACACTCCCCCTCGGTTCACCTAGGGCGATGAAAGTAATTTCATGATTTTGACCTCACGAAAGGTAATTTGATGATTTTGCCCCTAAGTGTGGGAGAGCCATGCTTCGGCAAGAATGGGTCGGCTCAACCGGAGTGATACCACGGCCTCACAAAACAGTGAAACAACCACAAGGTTGTGTTTCTTCGTGTGAGTGAGGTTACCGGAGGCCCATTTCTTGCCCTCCCCAATCCTTAAATCTGCATATCTATTTATTTATGTGTAATGAATCGTGTTTGTTTCTTCCTTTTTCTTTCCCCTTTCATTCTGGTCTAGGACTCTGTGTCCTTGCTTCGCACCAATCGTAAGAATTCTCTGCACTGCCCTATGGTTGACTGTTAGAGAATGCCTTAAGGCATTAAGTCCGCCTTTCAGACTGTTTTGTATAAATGAAAATGAAAAGAATAAATAAATAAATAAATCTCGAAGTCACTAATCCCCAAAAAGGTCGGCAACGCGCTCGTAACTCCTCTGGTGCGGGTGTCTATGGGCGGGATGATTGGATTACCACCAGGTAATCCGTCTGCTCGTTTGCCGACCTATTACATAAAGAAAAAACAAAAAAAGTAAAAGGGGAGGACAATAATATTTTTTTTTTTGTTCTAGATGATGCCCTTTCCGGAGCTTCCGGTGTTGGTGCAGGACTGGGTGCTGGCATCGTCACCGATGTCGCTGCAGGAGCTGGTGGTCTTTCCAACCCCACTGAAGCTCTCGGAGGATTGGGAGGCGGAGCTGGTGGACTAGGAGAAGGTGTTGGAGGTCTCGGAGGCGGTGCTGGAGGTCTCGGAGGCGGTGCTGGAGGTCTCGGAGGCGGTGCTGGAGGATTAGGAGGCGGTGCTGGTGGTGTCGGTAAGTTTTCTATCAAATTTCCAGAGCGTGGTGGACTGAAGTTAAAGGCGCTCTTGCGGACCTGCATGATGGATTATTTCGAAATCTGACAAGCACCAATGTGACTTTTTCGATTTATGTGTGTGTTCTAAGTTTATTTAGACACCGCTGACGTCCGGTGAAGGGAAAGCATCATGAGCCAACCTGGACTTTCAGGTTTTAGTACAATATGACCTTTGGTCTGGTTTGAGCAAGTCAACAATTAAATCTTCTTCGTATGAGAACTTTGCTTAACCGTTGGCCAGATATAGACTGATATGATGTATTGAATCAGATATTAAGGAAGGCTAATGATGCTAAGGGCAAATTTTTCAATAGTCAGATAAAAGTTACCTGGGGAATAATTATGATGCTGTCGCCTCAGAATGTTTGAATGAGACAGAGACAGCAACAATTTTATTCCGTAGATAACATTTATCTGACTATTGAAAAATTAGAGAAGAGGGCTTCGTTTAGCAGTCTGAAGACGATAAAGGAATTTTACAAAAATTTGAATTTTAAGATCTTGAAGGAGATATTATTCTTTGTAAACTGACTTTAAACTCTCTTGTTACATATAATTACGCGTGTATTAACGCGGAAAATAATCTGTCTAAATCAGTCTGCTTGTGACCACGACCTGTTGTGTAACCAAGTCGAAACGTCAGGCCTACCAAGGTATTTAAATAATACGCGCATTATAAATATATATTATTCCTTGTAAAAGCAAATTATTTTCTTGAACATATCCAAACTTTGTGGCACGCTGTAGGAGATCTCTTTATATAGCTTAAGGTGGTCGAACATATTATAATGTAATTTAATGGAAAAACATTTTTAATTGCTTTTGAAAAGGTGCAGTTTCACACGGATATTATTTCGGTATGCGCCGGTGGTTCGGTCAAATGTTGCTTGTATAGGTACTTAACCATTTTTTTTATCTTTTGGAGCGATTATTTCCGGAAATATTATCATTCTTAAAAAAATGCATACTTAGTAAGCCCCTCTTCATTTTTAAATACCTATCCAACAATACATCACATAAAATGTATAATTGACATGATTGACAGTGCTAATGGTCACTGATATTATCCTTGGACAGACAGACATGGTCATGGTAAAACTATAAGGGTTCCTACTTGAACTTGGATAACCACGAAACCCTAAAAAGGGCATTAATTGTGTCTATTTCTCAAAAATCAATATCCTTGCAGTTCTAAAGTCTTCTTCCAAAAAAAAATCATCAACTGGAAGACGTCCACTGTTGAACAAAGGCTTCTCCCATTAGTTCCCCATGCCAAACGACAAGTTGCCGCCTGCATTTAATGGCTCCCCGCGTCTCTGAAAATGTCGTCAGTCCACCTAGCGGGATGCCTGTCCTTGCTACGTTTTCCGGTCCTTAGTTGCGATTCTAGTACTTTTCGGCCCTATCGGCCGTCCTTCTAACGACGTGGCCCACGGCGCAAAAATTAATTTGCATTTTTGAAGTCCATTATAGCAGACTCAGTTCATCTGTGCTGTTGTTTTAGGATCCGAATCCGAAACGAAATCAATAACCGAAATCGATGACAAATCAAAATCTAAAAGTGCTGACGCGGTAACTGATTCCGGGATAGTTGATGGGTCGGGTGCAGTAGTTAAATCTGGATCTGGTGGTACTGTTGGATCTGGCACTGAATCTGGATCTGACGCTACACCTGCCTCTGGCAATGGAAAGGATACTGGTGGTGTAGTAGGCTCTGATGCAGCTGCTGCTAAAGGTGCTGGGAAAGAGTCTGACGCTAAAGCTGCTTCTAGCAATGAAAATGGACCTGTCGCTGCGCCTGCTTCTGGCAATGGAAAGGATATTGGTGGTGTAGTAGGCTCTGATACAGCTGCTGCTAAAGGCACTGGAAAAGAGTCTGACACTGAAGCTGCTTCTAGCAATGAAAATGGACCTGTCGCTGCGCCTGCTTCTGGCAATGGAAAGGATATTGGTGGTGTAGTAGGCTCTGATACAGCTGCTGCTAAAGGCACTGGAAAAGAGTCTGACACTGAAGCTGCTTCTGGCAATGGAAACGGAACTGTCGCTGCGTCTGCTTCTAGCACTGGAAAGAATACTGGTAGTGTAGAAGCATCTCTTGCAGCTGCTGCTAAAGGTGCTGTAAAAGAGTCTGATGCTGCAGCTGCTTCTGGCAATGAAAACGAATCAGTCGCTGCAGTTCCTTCTGGCACTGGAAAGAATGCTGGTGATGCAGTAGGGTCTAGTACAGCTGCTCCCACTATTGTTAGGAACGGATCAGGGACAGCAATAGTCTCCGGCACTAAAAACGAATCCAGCACTGCAGTTACTAGTGGCACTGAAATCGTATCTAATGCTACAGTAGGATCTGGTGTACCTGCTGCTGCGTCTGGCGTCGCTGGTCCTGAAACTGGCATTACTGGTGCAACTGGCGCTGTTAGTGGAACTGAAGCTCTCGGAACCGGTTCTAAGGCCACAGGTTTGTCTGACGCCGGGGCTGGATCTGAATCTCAAGCACTCGACAACGCTGGTAGTGCTCTTTCTTCTATAGCTGGATCTGGCGTACATGGTGTATCTGACTCAAAGTCTGGCTCATCTCCTAGCGGTGCAGCTGGAGAATCCAATCCTTTAGCTGGAATAGTTAATGTATCTGGGTCTTTAGGTACTACTAGTTCTGAGAATAGTGCACTAGGGGTGTCTGGTGCTATTGCTGATAGCAAATCATTATCTCTAAGCCCTGTTTCTGCCATATCTGGCGCAACTGGATCGGAATCGTTACCAGCGGTTAGCACTTTACCCAAAACTAATATAAATGGATCCGAGAAGACAGGCTGCGATCAGAAGACTGAGGCGCCCACTGGAACTCCGGACTTGGCTTTGAGTAAGTTTTTTTTGAGAGCATAAGTAAAGAATGTTGAGAAATAAACAACAATGTGATCACCATAAATCAAGAATTTGATTGTTACGACAAAGTTCTTTCGTGGTCTTTGGAAGAAGCCTATGTCCGGCAGTGGGTGCCTCCAAGCCTAAGGAATGGATGAGAATATACCAAGAATCATACTGAGTTAATGTTCTGTTTCAAATGTGAAACGATTACAATAATAATAAGTAAAATCTTTTACAAAACAAGCTATGTCGGCGAACTCGGTATCTCTGCTAAGAAGATTCTGTTTTTACTTTGACTTTTTAGACCTTTTAGGTCTGGGTGTGTAAGTGAAATTGTATATTTGCAAACGCATCCACGACACAGGAGAGAATTCTAGTGTAGGACTACGTTTTTTTAAAAAATAACCCAAAAAATTAAAGGCCTATGCAAAATTTGTCCAGCCGTTCTCGAGTTTTAGCGAGACTAACGAGCAGAAATTCTTTTTTATATATGATTTTAATTATAAAATATACAATTGTGATCGTAACTTAACTCGCTTCTAAATCCATCTTATCCATCTGTATATGTAGATCCCTGTGTAGATGTTAAAATCTTTTTTTCACCCTCAACATTGTCTCATAAATGTCTGATTGACATAAACGATTTGGCTTTTATGAATTTTATGCGACAACGCTCACAAAAAGAGTAAAAACTGTTTTCAAATAACTTACTCTCACCCAGGGTGAGGGCAAGAGGGAGTTTCAGACTCTTACTGACTAAAAACTTCCTCGGTCCTTCTCCTGCTCCAGGGCATCCCTAGCATGGCTTGAAGGTAGTGGCGTTCCTGATATATGATAGGAATTCCCTTATAGTGGCGTTTCTCAATAAGTACTATTAGACTGTTGATGCTGATAAAAACAATTTTGTTTATATTTACAGCTCAGGACGCACTTTCTAAAGCCACCAACGCTGCTGGTGGAGCTGGAGGTGCTGGAGGTGTTGGAGCTGATCTTGGTGAGTATCACCTCCCATTTTCCAAAGATGTGGAGAAATGCAATGACTGCACGGTTGGTGCAGTGGCTAGGCAACTGGCTGTGAAACATTCCGCATGTCAGAACAACGATTGAATTGTGGAAGAACCAAGCTTAGGCACGAATGCGTCGGCTCGACCTGAAAGGTACTTCGGAACCCCACAGAAGACTTGCGTGAAACAACCACAGCGTTGTGTTAATGAGGTTATCGAAGGCCAAGGCCCAATACAAATTTCCGAAACACTAATCTCCTCTGATGTAACACCGGATTGATTATTGGCAGCGCCGATTGCTTACCATCAGGTAATCCGTCTGCCCTTTAGCTGGACTAACACATAAAAAAAGCTGAAGATCTCTTTTGTCCTTCTCGAAGCTTGGTTCTTAAATAATATATATTTTTTCGACTAACGAGCAGAATGATTACCTGATGGTAAGCAGTTGGCGCCGCCCATGGACATTCGTAATACCAAAGGAGTAACGAGTGCATTGCTAACCTTTTGAGGATAAGGGTTTCGGATATTTAAGGTTTAGGAATGGGTGGGGAAAGGGGGAGGGATTGGGTCTTCGGTAACCTCACTCACACGGCGAAAAACAACGCTGTGGTTGTTTCATGCCGGTTTTTTTGGGGCCGTAGTGACACACCGGTCGAGCCGACACATTCGTGCCGAAGCATGGCTCTCCCACACTTAAATAATACTTATACATATAGGTAGTATATGACAAAATATATGTTATTTATTTTATTTATTTATTTGCAGCCGCCAAAGCTTCTGCTGGTCTGTCTGTCGAAAAAAGTAAGTTTAATTATTTAATACACTAGCGGCCCACCCCTGCTTCGCACGGGTCCTACTATCTCGCTAACAACGAAAGCGTCCCTTTTTTAATATTTTCTTTCATAAGAACCTTTTCCTGACATGAATAAATACAAAACAAAAGGATTTGGCAAAATTGGTCCAGGCGTTTTTGAGTTATGCGCTTACCACCACATTTTGCGATTCATTTTTATATAATAGATTACAATATCATGAAGGAGTGCCAAACATAATCCCCATGGTTGGCAGACGGCTGGAGTTACCATACCTCAGGATTTGTCCTGAGATTTCAGGATTTTTCGTCAGAGTCGCGGGCAACCAATTTTATTTTTATGTGATAAAAATACATTTAGGTTACGCCTATATGGATCTTGATTTTGATTATTGTTTTTTGTTTCTCAGGTCTCTTCGCTGGTTTCTAAGTTCAATGGTAAGTTAATTTAATAAAAAAATTATAAAGAAAATAACTAACAAAACAGTGTGTGTGACGAATATACTGATTTATTTTTTATCTCTTTCAGAAAACATCTAAAATCCGTTTCGAGAGAAAATCTCCCTCCAAGTTTTGAAAACGTTCAAGTAATGATATTTTTTTTAGATAAATAATGTTTTGTTAAATACCTGGACTTACATATTGTAATATATACAGAATATCAATAATTAAAAGAAAAATATAGCATTCAAATCTGTTTGTTTCCTTTATACATACATATACTATCTTTTGCCGGCGACCCCGTTCGCGTGGAATAGTGACTTCCTGCAGATTTTTGGCATAACAACTATCATATGTCCTTTCTTGAGTTCCAAACTATGTCTGTACCAAATTTCGCAGAAATCGGTTCAGTAGTTTAGGCGTAAAGAAAAGACAGACAGACGGAGTTATTATAGCATTCATAATACCTTTTAGATTGGATATAACTAGCGACTTGCCCCGGTTTAAAGGCTAATAGGCTATAAAACAGGCGAAATAGCGCGAGAGAAGCTAGTGTGAAATAAATAAATATGTTGGATTTAAAAAAAACTTTATTTTTCTAAAAAAGTCGAAGTTATCTTCTTTCAACCTCTTGAGAAAGGCGGTGAAGAATTGGTCTCCAGGTAGAAGATTCCAGATTGTCTGTGGAAAGAGAAATATAAAAATTAAAACTCATTATCATTCATCATCATCATCATCATCATCATCAGCCTATAAGTGCCCACTGCTAAGCAAAGGCCTTTTCTCATACGGAGAAGGTTTGAGCATTAATGACCACGCTTGCTCAATGCGGGTTGGGCGATTTCAAACTTATAATTAGAAATTATAAGTCCAGGTGTCTTCACCGTATGTCAGTGGTGTCTAAATAATCATAGAAAGTACATATAACTCGGAAAAAGTCACATTGGTACCTGCCAGGTTTCGAACACCCTCATGCATGAGAAGCGGGCTCCTTAACCTCCAGGCCACCGCGACATACATATCATTAAGTTCACATTAAGTATGGAAGAACCAAGTTTCAGCACGAATGGGTCAGCTCAACCGGAGTGATACCACGGCCTCACAGAAAACCGGCGTGTGTGAGTGAGGTTACCGGAGGCCCAATACCTCCCTCTCTCTCCATCCCTTGCCAATTCTTAAATAACCAAAACCCTTATCCCTAAAAGGCCGGTAACGCATTCGTTACTCCTTTGGGTTTTGTCTCCTTTGGGTGTCCATGGTCAGCGTTGATTGCTTACTACCATCATCATCATCATCATCATCAGCCTATAAGTGCTCTTACTGACGAGCAAAGGCCTCTTCTCACACGGAGAAGGTTTCGAACCCACACCCTCATGCACGAGAGCGGGCTCCTCATCCTCCGGGCAACCACGACGATTATCTAAGCCATAAAAAAAGTCCAGAAGGAAAATGATATTCTGGTCTCACTCACCCAGTTTTTGGTACGAGTCCACCCATGCGAAGGTTGCCCAAGAGCTGGCAGTTTCCTGTAATGGCCGTCAGGTAGGAGAGACAGCGGCGGCCGGTGAACCCACCTCGAGTTAGAGATTCCGCCATGTAGTGGTAGCATCTGGAATATTAGAACAAAATCCTTATTTAACGATACTAAATCTCTCTCCACTATTTAATGGATGTTATATATTATACAATGAAACAATGAATTTATTTTTGCAAATAGGCCCTTTTACACGTCAAAATTATATGTGAAAAACTAGATGAAGCCGGCATTTCCTATCTGACTACTCTGAGAAGAAATGCCGAAACAAACTCAGAGGTCAGTCTCTTTTCAAGTCCAGACAATGTAAAATAACATAATGTGAGAGAACCGTGCAAGTTCATTCTGTAGTCGTCTTTTGCGGAAGAACCACACCGGTTTAAGTGGACCCGTTCTGAAGACAGGCACGCAAGTGTCAGTTTGCAACCAGTATAGCTATATACATATAAACCTTCCTCTTCAATAACTTTATTTATTAAAAAAAACGGATCAATATCCGTAATAATAATATCATTTTTGCCGAGAAAGATAAACTGATCAAGTATATCGACTTGGCACGCGAGGTCGCGACATGTGGGAAGTGGATTCAGCTATCATTGTACCGATAGTCGTGTCAGCCAATGACTTAATAGCCAAGAGCCTCGACCAACATCTTCGGAGGCTCTCGTTAGGTGGCCTCCTGGACACGGCTCGTATTGTCAGGAGGTTCCTTTCTCTGAAGCCCTGACCGCCGGTAGCTTGGACCCTGTTCCCGATATCGGTGGGACACTATTTTTTATATTTTTAAATGCTTTTTTATTTTAAATTATGAAGAAATATTTAAAAATGTAAATTATATGTTTATAAATGTAATATATAATAATAAATATCTTTTTCTGTTATAAACACTACAATTACAAATTGGTATGGTATACATACATATTTATGTATATGATATAATTATATCACGATTTACGACTTAGTAAAAAAAATAAAAATGCGGGTGTCCATGTTTCGGCACAAATGGGTCGACTCGACCGGAGTTGATACCACATATTCCGCGGGCTCACAGAAAACCAGCGTAAAACAACTATAGCGTTGAGTTAATTATTGTTTTTTAGGCTTACTCACGTAAAAATTTGGCGAGATACTCGACTAGTTTCAAGCCATGCTAGAGGCCCATATTCATGAGCAGCATTCCGCGACACGCGACTCGGCGACTGTCGCGCTGCTACTGCTGCTAACAGCGCGACAGTCGCCGAGTCTTGAAAATAGTCGAGTATCTCGTCAAATTATTACGTGAGTAAGCCGAAAACATAATAAATAATTTAGAATGTCTCACGAAAGTTATAATAAAAATACAGCGTTGAGTTTCGGAGGTCCAATCCCTTTTCACCTCTCCCAATCAATAAACTCCGCGTTCCTATTCTTCAAAAGGCCAACAACGTACTCGTTACTGCTCTGGTGTTGTGGGTGTCCATGGGCAAATTGCTTACCATCAGGTCGTTTATCACATACTAAGCGTTTTGCCTCGTCATTTATACCACGTACATCGAGGGATTGGAACAGTTTGCCGGCCGCTGTCTTTCCGTCCAAATATAATTTAGGTGTCTTCAAGGCTAGAGTGAATAGGCTCTTAATAAACTAGTGCGCCTTGCCATCAACGATTGCATCACTGCTTACCATCAGGTAGGATCGCAGTCAAGCACTAGTTTAATGCAAGTAAAAAAAAAATTAAAAATAACGAAAAGGTTCGGGAGTTGCTTTTGAAGAGGTTGGCAGAGGTATCGTGATTATGACATCACATAGCAAAATGTGTATAATTTTAAGTAGTATATGTAATTATATTATTGCTGTATATATAATATATAATATAAAGTATGTATGTATGTATATATTAGTACATATTTATGTAAGTCTATGTATTTATAACGTCTCTAATGATGCTTGTTTTGTGCACCTTTGTGGCTGTTAGAGAATGCCCATGGCATTAAGCCCACCGTTGTACATTTGTTTTTTGCATAAAGATATTAATATAATCTATATATATAAAAGAAAGTCGTGTTAGTTACACCACTTATAACTCAAGAACGGCTGAACCGATGTAGCTGAAAATTGGCAGGGAGGTAGTTTAGAGCCAGGAGAAGGACATAGGATAGGATAGAGTAGGTAGAGTAGGTCAGGTAGAGTAGGGTAGGTAGAGTAGGGTAGGTAGAGTAGGGTAGGTAGAGTAGGGTAGGTAGAGTAGGGTAGGTAGAGTAGGGTAGGAAGAGTAGGGTAGGTAGAGTAGGGTAGGAAGAGTAGGGTAGGTAGAGTAGGGTAGGTAGACTAGGGTAGCTAGAATAGGGTAGGTAGAGTAGAGTAGGTAGAGTAGGGTAGGTAGTCAAATGACGGGAGCGACGCCGCGGGTAAGTGCTAGTTTAATATATAAAAGGCAAATTTCTGTCTTTACTCACCTGGCATGATCACAGTCATTACTGTTGCACCCTGGCATACCGCTCCCCCCATTGGGGTAGAAGTCTGCATCAGCTAAAGTGGCCATGTAGCCAAGAAAGCCAACGTTAGTATGTATAACTTCAGTGTATACTCCATCAGTGGGCTTGAACTTCTCATTGTTGGTGTTCCACCCAGGGAAAGCTGGGTCTAGACCTGGAATAGAAGAACTGGGTAAGACTGTGTACTCCATAGGAATCTACGCTTTGGAACGAGCAAATAGCTTCACTAGAGGACTGACCGACAGACTGATACTTTTTATCTTTAAGGTTTTTTTGATGTTCAAAAGTGTGTTAGGGTCTATTTGAAATAAAGGATTTTGACTTTGACAAAAATATAAATCCAAACTTATCTAATAATATAAATTCGAAAGTAACTCTGTCCGTCTGCCTGTCTGTCTGTCTTTTCTTCACATATAATGTTTTTTATGAGTAGGAGAGCAATGTTTCGTCACAAAATGGGTCGGCTCGACCGGAATGCCACGGCTCGCAGAAAACCGGCGGGACACAACCACAGCGTTGTGTTTCGCCGTGTGAGTAAGGTTACCGGAGGCCCAATCCTTCCCCTCCCCCAATCCCTAAATCTCAGGAATTCTAATCCCAAAATGCTTGCAACGCTCTCTTAACTCTTCTAGTGTTACGAGTATCCATGGGTGGCGCTGATTGCTTACCATCAGGTAATCCGTCTGTTGATGGCCGACCAATAGTATGATTGAAATCACCACAAACCTTAGAAGATACTCTGGAATAAAGAATAAATTGTTTTTATCCTACCAGTGATGTATGCGATCTGTCCGCCCAGATTTCTGCCGACGATTCCAACTTGATGGCCACCCAGACTGTGTCCGACTAAGTGGTACATGCTGGGAACTGCTCCAGTCACGCCGTTCAGCCAAGCTAGGAACCTGGCTACACTTTGACCTGACCAAAAATACAATATTTATTTGAATAAAATATAAAATTGTACGCTTAGTTAAAATAGGTATATCCTATCCTAAAGAAACTGTCTTCTCTTATTGTATCATCGTGGTGTGTATTCCTAAAATAGTCAATTTTCGGAAGACACACCAGTTTCTTTTAAAGTTTCTTTTAAACTCCACACAAATATAAACAAGTCGTCGGTCTTCGACTACCGTAGGCACGGGAATGCGGACGACGAGGAAGGGTAGCTCGCCACCTGACTAAATCTAAACCCACTCAAAAGTACGGGCTAAGTGTTCCACGCGCATATCAAAGAGCCGAAAGACCACTATACGTATGGATTGACGTTGAGAATGAACAGGGTGGTGTTTGGTTCATAAGTGTCTGAGAACTCCCTCACGACCTTGGGCGAGAGTCATTGGATGATATTACCTCAATTGCCAATAAAATATTAAAATGGCTGACTTGGCAGAACTGTGCAAGTTGGTTATGTAGTGGTCTTTTGAGGAAAGAACCACACCAGTTTAAGTGGACCCGTTCTAAAAGCCAGGCACTGAAGTGCCACTAGGAAAAATAAGGAGTGTCGCCAAATTTTCTTACAAGCAATACAAATAAATAGTCAAAAAATCAGTACCTTACACTAATTTTTTTTTTATTATTGAAACAATGAAACAACGAATGTATTTTTGCAAATAGGCCATAAAACGGCACTTTTACACGTCAAATTATATGTGAAAAACTAGATGAAGCCGGCATTTCCTATCTGACTACTCTGAGAAGAAATGCCGAAACAAGCTCAGAGGTCAGTCTCTTTTCAAGTCCAGACAATGTAAAAATAACATAACGTGAGAGAACCGTGGGATGTATTGATTATAGGTTCGCGCTTGACCACTAACTCACCTGATGGAAAGCGACGATGCGGTCGAAGATGGAGCGCGCTAACCCAGAAGTAACCTATTCACTCTTGATTTAAAAATACCCGGATTGTAACTATCAGGAAACACCGACTCCGGCAAGGAATTCCACTCCTTGGCTGTACGCATAATGAATGTGCTCCCAAAACGTTAAAATATCATTCCATTCTTACTGACCTGAAGTAAGAGTATTTTCTACAGCTGTGAAGTAGTTGATGGTACCAGCACCAGCGCTCCAATCTACCACGATCACGTTGACATCCTCAGCTTGCAGGAATGCTTTGGAAGAACAGAAAACATATTTAGCGTTATTTGCTTTCTCAATTTGTTCAAACGACAAGAGAGACAAGGGTACTCTTTTTCGTTCACTGAATAAGTCCCTTCGTGATTTGAAACTATGTAGTACTAGCTCTTGCCCGCGACTCCGTTCGCGTGGTATAGTGTCTTCCTGCAGATTTTTGGTATAAAAACTATTCTATGTCCTTTCTCGAATTCCAAACTATATGTCTGTACGAAATATCACAGAAGTCGGTTGAGTAGTTTAGGAGTGAAGAAAAGACGGACAGAGTTACTTTCTGATTTAACATATTAGTTGGGATTATAGAGATCTCAGTTTATTCACGTAAGTCAGTACTTAAATCGCTATTTCAATGATTTTGAATTATACCAGTTTACAAATAAACGATAACTGGCCAATAAAAAAAAACATTGTGACAGCAGCTTGGCATGCGAAGATAACTCCAGAAGAGCTTTTTTTCTACGATTAAACGGATGTTACGATGATGGAGACGCGCTCGCTACTCAATGTCATGAATAAGAGTCTCGTGTATAAGTATCACGTGTAGTTATTATCTATATATAAAAAAGAAAGTCGTGTTAGTTACTCCACTTATAACTCGAGAACGGCTGAACCGATTTAGCTGAAAATTGGCAGGGAGGTAGTTTATAGCCAGGAAAAGGACATAGGAAAGAGTAGGTAGTGTAGGTTAGGTAAAGTAGGGTAGGTAGAGTAGGGTAGGTAGAGTAGGGTAGGTAGAGTAGGGTAGGTAGAGTAGGGTAGGTAGAGTAGGGTAGGTAGAGTAGGGTAGGTAGAGTAGGGTAGGTAGAGTAGAGTAGGTAGAATAGGGTAGGTAGAGTAGGGTAAGTAGAGTAGGGTAGGTAGAGCAGGGTAGGTAGAGTAGGGTAGGTAGAGTAGGTAGTGTAGGGCAGGTATTCAAATGACGGGAGCGACGTTGCGGGTATGAGCTGGTATTCAATAAAAAAATCTGCATCAAAATCCTTTGCTTAATTTTAAAGATTTAACCATACATAGGGATATAAGGACAGAGAAAGCGCCTTTATTTTATACCATGCAGTGATAGATTTACTCACTTAAAGTCAGCTGATATGAGCATGAATAAGAGTTCCATTGTGACATTGAAACTAGATATTTTCTTACTTAATTCACAAAATCTCATACCTGGTACCAAAACAGTATTGAAATCAGCCGTGACAGAGTCCAGCCATCCGTGTATAAGAACAATGGTGCGTCTGTTAGCGTTGTAATTCGTTATGCCCAGTAGACCCTCGCTGCCGATCAGAAGGGGCTGGCTGACTGTGGGATTATTCCTGAAAATGAGGGTATAATTTATATTACCTGATGGTAAGCAATCAGCGTCGCCCATGGACACCCGCAACGACGGAGGAGTTACGAGTGCGTTGTCGACCTTTTAGGGATTAGGGATTTGGAGATTTTGGTAAAGGGAACGTATTGGGGTAGGGAAAGATTGGGCGTCCGGTAACCTCACTCACACGGCGAAACACAACTCTTTGGTTATTTCACGCCGGTTTTCTCTGAGGCCGTGGTATCACTCCGGTCGAGTCGACCTATTCGAAAATATGTGCATTCCATATATGTAGACTAGTCATATTTGTCGAAGAACTGGTGACTGTTTCGATAGACGTGTTCTGAAGTTAAGATAAACCAAGTGTAGGGCGCTCTGCAGCTAGATATTATTTTTGTAAGGGGCAAATCTTCAAATGCCTTCTCCCACCCAGGGTGGGGCGGGAGAGAATGTCAGATTCTTACTGACTAAAAACCTCACGTTCCTTATCCTGCTCTGGGTCGAGGCCGCTGTGTCTATTTGCGCTTACCCCGCAACCCCGGCTAAACATCAGATCTATAACGCCCCGTCTGTGGTAGTCTATTGGCTCTTTGAGGATCAGGGTATATGTGTTCTAAAGTGGAGACTACGTCTAGCCAAACATAGTGTAGGGCGCCTTGCAGCTAGGTGGACTGACGATATCCGTGCTGTGGCTGGCAGTGGTTGGATGAGAAGAGCTGAACATCGAGTTCAATGACGTGCTATTGGAGAGGCCTATGTCTACCAGTAGACGGAATAAGGCTGATGAATATGATACATTTATATACCTACATATAATAGTAAACAATTCGCTAATTTTATTACAAAAACTGCTACTTGGTACAAAACGATTGAAGATCAGCATGAATGACTTCTTTATCATCACCATCATCATCGTCATACATCTTAAACATTATCATCAGCTACAAGGTATCGACTGCTGAATCAGATCAGTGCTGCGGACAGTTTTTTTATGTCATAGGTCTGCAAAACAGCAGACGGATTACCTGATGGTAAGCAATCAGCGCCGCCCATGGACACTCGTAAAACCAAAAGCGTTACTACAAGTGCGTTGTCACCTCTTGTGGGTTATACGAGGTCATAGAATAAAGTATTAAGTGTGGGAGAGCCATGCTTCGGCACGAATGGGTCGGCTCGACCGGAGTGATACCACGGCCTCACAGAATACCGACGTGAAACAACCACAGCGTTGTGTTTCGCCGTGTGAGTGAGGTTACCGGAGGCCCAACCCTTCGCCTCCCCCGATCCCTCCCAATCCCTAAATCTCCAAAACCCAAATCCCTAAAAGGTCGGCAACGCACTCGTAACTCCTCCATTGCGGGTGTCCATGGGCGGCGCTGATTACTTACCATCAGGTAATCCGTCTGGTCGTTAGCCGACCTATTCCATAAAAAAAAAGTATTTCAGGATTATGGATGAGTAGCTGGAGGATTTTGCCTCCGGTAACCTCACTCACACGGCAAAACATAACATAATTGTAGTTTCATGCAGTTTTCTGTGAGGCCGTGGTATCACTCCAGTGAAGCCGACCCATTCGTGCCGAAACATGGCACATGGGTTAGTATGTCTCTTCCCACCTCCCTCTTTTCCAATTTTCACAATCCTCAACTGCCCAATCCCTAAAACGCCGGTAACGCCATGGTGTCCATGGGCGGCGCTGATTGTCAATGAAAAAGTAAGGCGATCCAAAAGAAAGTTATCCTTCACTCTTTGACTGCGCGGTTGGTGCGGTGGCTGGGCAACTGGCTGCCGTGCAACGTGTCGCGGGTTCGATCCCCGCACGGAACAACTCTTTGTGTGATCCACAAATTGTTGTTCCGGGTCTGGGTGTGATGTGTATGTGAAAAAAGTATGTTTGTAACCGCACCCACGACACAGGACAACATCCCAATGTGGGTTTTTTTTAAAAGATAAAGATTAAAATATGAAATTACTCTGATAAAGGGATCCTTACCTGGTATACAGATGGTAGACATTCTGCCGATCAGGGTTGTACCTGGCTGCCTCTGCTACATCACTGACCTTCCCCCAAAGGTCTACCAGGTGGAGAGACCCATCAGGACCTTCCATATACTGGTAACGGAGCCCATCATCCAGTTTCCTGATGACAGGGTTATAGGGAAGCGCTGTAAAGAGGAAATATAGGATTTTATGCTTCTGATGTCGAGCACTGATCAGAAAAGGTCATACTTGTTTCGATTGCCTGCTTTGATGAATGGACTATACATATGGCTGAAATATAATGTTTCTTTTTTATGTGACATTTCTTTTTTAACCCCCGACGCAAAAAGAGGGGTGTTATAAGTTTGACGTGTCTGTCTGTGGCATCCTGGAGCCTGAATGAGTGAAGCGATTTCAATTTAGTTTTTTTTTTGTTTTAATGGTGACTTACGTGCGAGTGTTCTTAGATATGTTTGACGAAAATTGGTTGAAACGTTTAGAAGTTATGGGGGGGGGGGGGGTAAGTGGGGAAGGGTAAACGAATATTAATTATATATTATTAGAATTATATTCCACAAATGAAAGCGCACTGAAAGGGAATATTGATGACTTAATCGAGTGAAAAGGATATAAAATAATAAAAAATAATAAGACCCCCGACATAAAAGAAATATGTAGTAGCTAATAAAATGTTTGGATCCGTCCCCCAACGCCACGTTTTCTAAAGTTTATAACTTTTTAAAGGAATATTAGGTATATGGTCGGGGGTTTTTTAAATTTTAAATTTATTTATAGGGAAAACGAGATTACCTGATTGTAGGCAATCGGCATCGCTGCTAGTTTTGTCATTTGTGAAATAACATACTTATACATTTTTGAACTAGGGTCCCCGTCTTAGGGCGGTTTTTAGTCAGTAAGAGTAACACTCCAAAATAGTTCACAACAATACAATCTTTTGCGACAATGATATTAATTTATTTAAGTTTTTTTTATGTAATAGGTCGGCAAACGAGCAGACGGATTCGACAGACCTGATGGTAAGCAATCAGCGCCGCCCATGGACACCCACAACGGAGTAGTTACGAGTGCGTTGCCGACCTTTAAGGGATTTGGAGATTTAGGAACTCGGGAGAGATTGGGTGAGGGGAAGGATTGGGCCTCCGGTAACCTCACTCACACGGCGAAACACAACACTGTGGTTGTTTTACGCCGGTTTTCTGTGAGGCCGTGGTATCACTCCGGTTGAGCCGACCCATTCGTGCCGAAGCATGGCTCTCCCATATTTAAGGTAATCTTATCTTTCCAATAAATTGTGAATAAAAATCGATTATTTAATTAATTATCTGGGTACAATGTTTAATTATAAATATTATGATAAGAAAAGTTAGTAACACGTTGACTTGTCTATACTTTCTTATTACATCATCATCATCATCAGCCTATACTTGTCCACTGCTGAGCAAAGGCTTATCGTGCATGAGGGTGTGGGTTCGAAACCTAGTTAGTACCAATGTGACTTTTTCTGAGTTATATGTACGTTCTATATGGTTATTTAGACACCACTGACATACGGTGAAGGTAAACGGTGACAACGGTGTTTTTTTTCCTAGTGTGTTTTTGATATATTCTGGTATTATTTTTCCATGTATCTTTTTTTCATTTGAACTTGATCTTTGCTTTTATAATTTATATTTAATTTAATTTCTTTCTTACATTATAATCTGAACGTACTCGTTATGCGTTGCTTTCGTCCGTGCGTCACTGCAGGGGTGCCAACTGAAAATCAGTGTTGGGTGCTCAGTGTGCCCAGCTTTTTGCTGAGTTGGCGACCCGTTCGGTTTAGACATGTCTGCCAACCCTGTAGAACACTGTCAACACTGTGTGTTCTGCTGTCTGCCAAAACTGCATATTTAGCGTATTTTTGTTTTTCTGTCTTTTTAACCTTTTTATTGTTTTTTTGTGTTGCATTTTTGTTTTTTTTTCTGGCTTTCATGTCTGATGCCGAATAAATGTATTTTCTTTCTTTCTTCTTTCTTTCTAAACATCGTGAGGAAACCTGGACTTATAATTTCTAATTAACCGACTTCAAAAAAGGAGGAGGTTCTCAATTCGACGCGTATTTTTTATAAGTTTGAAAACGCCAACCCGCATTGAGCAAGCGTGGTGATTAATACTCAAACCTTCTTCGTGTGAGAAGAGGCCTTTGCTCAGCAGTGGGCACTTATAGGCTGATGATAATGATGATGAAGGCCTCTTCTCATAGAGTTAGAGCATTAATCACCACGCTTACTCAAGGAGTTACTCTTACTGACTAAAAACCATTCCGTTTCCATCATTAAGTGTGGGAGAGCCAAGCTTCGGCACGAATGGGTCGTCTCGACCGGAGTGATACCACGGCCTCACAGAAAACCGGCGTGAAACACCCACAGCGTTGTGTTTCGCCGTGTGAGTGAGGTTACCGGAGGCCCAATCTTTCCAATCTTTCCACTCTCCCATATCCCTACTCTATCCCACTCCCTGATATTCCGAAATCCGGTCGAGACGATTCGTGCCGAAGCTTGGCTCGCCCACACTTAATAAATGATTAATAATAAAACGTTGTCTTACCCGAAACGCTAATTAATCCGATTGCCAGTAACGTAATCACCTTCTCCATGGCTGGTAGCAGAGTGATTACTAATTACAAGTGTTAATCAATCAATTAATACTTAAGAATGCGAAATCTTATCTCTTATCATTGACAGGTGGCTAAATTGTGCTAAATGAAAGACTGAATTGTCTGTTTGTCTATACTGTCTATTAAACCAAAAGTAAAGTAAAGTTAAAAGTCAATGCAGGTTTATTGCAACCACCATTTGCCAGAACCAATTTAAAAGAGTTTTCTCCAATAAATCGCTTGTCGAAAGCATATAATTCTATTTGCGGTGAAGTGGATGTGTTCGGCGATAAGCTATACACATTCAAAAAAGTTGTTTTAGAGTTGTTACGATTAAAACAAGATCGTTAAATTGAACTGAATTTCTTCTTTGTTCTCATTTTATTTCTTGTTTTGTTATTATTATTTCTTTATTTTTATTTTTTAATTTTTTTTTAAATTACTGAATGGGTATTATAAAACCAGTGTTACCTTATGATGCATGTTGTGACATCTTAAAATGTTGTGCATTTATGTATTATTTTAAAATAATATTAAGTTAAGTTAAGTATTAATGTAACAACTACTGATTGTCCAAATAAATAAATAAATAAATAAATAAATAAACTGTAGGTTAACGGAATCTAGGCAAACCCGGACTAATATAATATATTAGTCCTAAAGCCTATATCAGGCCGTGATGAGGCCGTGGTATCACTCCGGTCGAGCCGACCCATTCGTGCCGAAGCATGGCTCTCCCACACTTATATTCCCACATTAACATTATACATATAAAAAACAACATCTTTAAACGGTAGATTAAAATAAAATTTTCTATATACACATCCTTTAATAAGATTAAGACAGATTAACTACCTACTAAAATCTATTTAGATAACGAAACATAGAAATTATTTGGTCAATTCATTGCTTTACGATACTGTACCTTATTAGTAACGAAAAAAAGAACTGTTTAATTATCATGCCGTGGTTGCTATGGTAGGTAATTGAGCATAAAATAATCAACAGGTGTTTTATGAAATATGTGCTGGTCGTGGTGGCCCGGTGGTTAAGGAGCCCGCTTCTCATGCATGAGGGCGTGGGTTCGAAACCTGGCAAGTACCAATATGACTTTTTCCGTGTACTTTCTATGATTATTTAGACACCACTGACATACGGTGAAGGTAAACATCATGAGGAAACCTGGACTTATAATTTCTAATTATAAGTTTGAAATCGCCAACCCGCATTGAGCAAGCGTGGTGATTAATGCTCTAACCTTCTCCGTATGAGAAGAGGCCTTTGCTCAGCAGTGGGCACTTATAGGCTGATGATGATGATGTTTTATGAAAGTAGTTATCGCTAAGATTATATTCATATTTAAAATGTCTTGTCGCCGTAAGCAAGTGTAGCTTGTCGCTCGACCAGAATCAGTAAGTGTGGGAGAGCCATGCTTCGGCACGAATGGGTGGGTCCGACCGGAGTAAAACAAAGGCTTCAAAAAAAAATATTTCCTTCATCGTATGTCAGTGGTATCTAAACAATGTTATAAAATATATGTTGTTACAACTTGGAAAAAGTCATTTAGATGTGGGAAAGCCATGCTTCGCCACAAATTGGTCGGCTCAACCGGAGAACTACGGCCATTGTTTCGCCGTGTGTACTTCCCCTCCCCAAATCCCTAAATCTCCAAATCCATAATCCCCAAAAGACTCGTAACTCCTCTGTTGATGCGTGTGTCTAGGGGTGGCGCTGACTGCTTACCATCAGGTAATCCGTCTGCTGGTTTTCCGACCTGGTTGGCCATGTGTTTATTGACAGAAATTTAGGGCTTTCCAAAAAGTAATCCGAAGATACCTACTTGTGTCGGGAAATATTGAAAAATAACTATACTTTTATTCATCGATATGTCGATAGTTTGTGTAAACTACAAATATTATTTAGCTAATTAAAAAACAAAATAACTAAGCTATATGGCTTAAAAAAATAGGGTTACGGCCGCTAGCATGTAGCGACACGGGGGCAACATACGTTGAGCTGCTTGGGGAAGGAGAGGCATCCCACGGCTATCAGAGCAATCCCGGAAGTACGGCCAAGACCCCTACCAGCACCTTACTGAGATACATCCTTCCCCCGAGTCTCCTTCAACTCGTACTCTTGCGAATCTCCACTCAAGCTAGCCAATTAAGGCAAGAATGAGGTAGGAGGGCTTGTTCTTCATCAGTGTTCACTCCAGCTTGTCACGAGGACTAACCGGAGAGAGAAGAACAAGACACGTCCCGGGTGTCAGGTCCGTGGGGTCGCCACTGCCAACAGCTCGCCACAAGATGCCTTGCGGATAATAATTGCACCCGTGCTATGTCGGGGCGGGTCGCTAGTTTTATATAAAATATATAAGATTTTCAATAATTAACTAAGCTATATGGCTTAAAAAAATAAGGTTACATTACTACACACGATTGAAAATGCATAGAGAAAACTGTCGTCGATATATGTAGATCATACGAAAAAAATATTAATGTTTTGACAAGTGGTAAGTCAAGTTTGACTGCGCAATTGGCTGCTGTGCAACGTATTACGGGTTCGATTCCCGCACGGAAAACTCGTTGTGTAAACTACAAATTGTTGTTCCGGGTCTGGGTGTGATGTGTATGTGAAATTGTATGTTTGTAAACGCACCCACGACACAGGAGAAAAACCAAGTGTTGGGCTTTTTAGTTAAAAAAATAAAATAAAAGAAAGTTCTTTTGACAACCCGAGTGATTCCATTGGCGGAAAGCTAGCTATAAGTTAATCTATTCGGAAGTTGTTAATTGATTATTTTAATTATCAATTATTAACACGTGTAACTTGGTTCATATTTATACTATTGGTGCTCGCTACTTTGTTCGTTGACAAAACCAAGTAGACACATCAAAACACATTGAGAGACGTGCCAATAGGCTCATCAACGGCCTGCGGACGACAGACTCGGGGCGTCTTGTCGTCCGACCAGCAGCAGGCCTCGAGGCGGCGGTGCCGTGTTCCGCGCGCGCCTCATAATGGAGTCCTGCGGTCGGGGTGACGGCCGCAGTGGGTGACTGGGCCCGCCTTACCATCTGGCGGGCCAATACCCGTCGGGGGGATGCGACGAATGCTTCGGCGATACCCGCCCCTCCGACACATGGGTAAGTGGAGGAACACCGGGTTGATTTTTAGTCAGTATGAGTCTGACAGTACCCTTCGCCCTTCCCCGAGGGTGGTGGGTCTCGATGAGGATTTTCCAACCCGACACCAATAAAAAAAAAATAGGCTCATCAATGATGATGCTCTCGAAAGATGATCTCGGGCCACTGTAAGCGCGGGACTGCAGACAGGGAGGGAGGGAGGGTAGCTCGCCGCCCGACCAGAACCAGACCCGAGCGTACGGCGCGTAGCGTTCCGCGCGCGCCTCAAAGAGCCAATAGACCACCACAGACGGGGCTCTATAGGGCTGATGTACAGCCGGGGTGGAGGGGTAAGCGCAATGAGGCACCGCGACCTCGGCCCAGAGCAGGAGAAGGAACGGGGGGTTTTTAGTCAGTAAGAGTCTGACACTCCCTCCTGCCCGGCCCTGGGCGGGAGAAGTCGTTTGATGATTTTCCCCTCACAAAAAAAAACTTTTTTTTTTATGTAAACGTGCAGACGGATTACCTGATGGTAAGCAATCAGCGCCGCCCATGGACACTCGCAACGGAGGAGTTACGAGTGCGTTGCCGACCTTTTAGGGATTAGGGATTTGGAGATTTAGGGATTGAGGAGGGATTGGGGAAGGGGAAGGATTGGGTCTCCAGTAACCTCACTCACACGGCGAAACACAACGCAGTGGTTATTTCACGCCGGTTTTCTGAGAGGCCGTGGTATCACTCCGGTCGAGCCGACCCATTCGTGCCGAAGCATGGCTCTCCCACACTTATATTCCCACATTAACATAATTGTATAAAATACAACATCTTTAAACGGTAGATTAAAATTAAATTTTCTATATACACATCCTTTAATAAGATTAAGATAGATTAACAACTTAAAGCTATTGAGATAACGAAACATACAAATTATTTGGTCAATTCATTGCTTTATGAAAATGTCCCTTATTGCTGACGAAAAAAGAACTGTTTAATTATCATGCCGTGGTTGCTATGGTAGGTAATTGAGCATAGAATAATCAACAGGTGTCTTATGAAAGGAGTTATCGCTAGGATTATATTCATTTTTAAAATGGCTTGCCACCGTAAGCACGGCTTTCAGCCGGGGTTGCGGGGTAAGCGCAATGAGGCACCGCGACCTCGGCCCAGAGCAGGAGAAAGGAACAGGGGGGTTTTTAGTCAGTAAGAGTCTGAGATTCCCTCCCGCCAGGCCCTGGGCGGGAGAAGTCATTTGATGATTTTCCCCTTACAAAAAAAAACCGTAAGCACGGCGTGCAAGGGTAGCTTGTCACCCGACCAGAATCAGTAAGTGTGGGAGAGCCATGCTTTGGCACGAATGGGTGGGTTCGACCGGAGTAAAACAAAGGCTAAAAAAAAAATATTTCCTTCATCGTATGTCAGTGGTATCTAAACAATGTTATAAAATATATGTTGTTACAACTTGGAAAAAGTCGCCAGAAATTGATCGGCTAGACCAGAGAACCACGGCCATTGTTTCGCCGTGTGTACTTCCCCTCCCCAAATCCCTAAATCTCCAAATCCATAATCCCCAAAAGATTCGTAACTCCTCTGTTGATGCGTGTGTCTAGGGGTGGCGCTGACTGCTTACCATCAGGTAATTAAAAAAGGTTTTCCGACCTGGTTGGCCATGTGTTTATTGACAGAAATTTTTGAACAATTAAGTTGCCAGGGCTTTCCAAAAAGTAATCCGAAGATATGTGTCGGGAAATATTGAAAAAATAACTATACTTTTATTCATCGATGTGTCGATACACTAAATTTTTGATATTATTTAGCTAATTAAATAAAAATAAGTAAGCTATTTGAAGTAAAAACGCGTGACTAATAATGACGTCATAACTTGGAGTTTATACAAATTTCATAGAAAACTGTAGTTTTTGACATTTGGATAAAAGTATTGAATTCGACTAGTTGGAAACAAACGTATTTTCGATCTTCACAAAAAGGGGTCGCTGTTATTATGTCAAGTAATTAGGTAGACAAAGCGAGGACGAAGAATAAAACATAGTACTTATTTCTTAATTAATTATTTTATTTAGCCTTGTGAGAATGGTGAGTAGGGATTCGTTGTCAAATAGTAGATTCCCGTTGATCTGAAATATAAAATTAAATATATAAGAATACAATAAAATTACTACAATTATAAGCGGACACTGACTTTCCCTAAAAAAAAATTTTAATGTTTGATTTAGCTTTGGATATCTCCTGATTTACCGACCTATCGACGCGTGTTTTAATAGAGCGCCATCTAGTATAAACTCTTCGAACTTTTAATGCACGTGCCACAGATAAGCAAAATGAAAAATAAGCAAGCAAGTCGGTTGGGCTGCCATAGTCGCCATAGTTTTTACGCGACTATAAATAGTCGCCTTGTGTTTTGAGCTGTTGAGTTTTTAGTCAGTGAATGTCTGACATTTTTTTTAGACTTATCCGAGGGAGAGGACAGGTTATTGAATGATTTTCCCGCCTTAAAAAGAAAAAAAAAGAAAGACCGATATCATGGCCTCACAGAAAACTGGCGTGTAACAACCACAGCGTGGTATTTCGCCGTGCGAGTGAGGCCCTATCCTTTCTCCCCATCCTCAATCCTCAAATTTCCTATCCTTTTATCCCTAATAATAAAATTGTCAAGAGACCGTTAACGAACTTCTAGTAACTCTTTTGGTATTACGAATGTCCATTGGCAACACTGATTGCTTACCATCAGGTTATCCGTCTGCTCGTTAGCCGACCAATACTCTGAGCCAATACTATAGGTTTTAATAACCTTGAGGGCAATTTCGTTTTCGGATTCGACTGTGTTAGACTGTTCTCACATATCAGAACCAACTAAATGGTGAAACAAAGAAATTAATTGTAAAACTGATTGAAAAAGAGTAACCATAGAGTTTCTAGCTCGTTCTTCTCCATAAGAATATACGCTTTGGAACGAGTAAAGCTTCACTAGAGGACTGACCGACAGACTTTTGAAATTTAAATTTCTTTTTTTTTGCTTATCTTTCAAAAGTGCTTGTTGTGGTCTATTTGAACCTGACCTCAACTTTGATCATAAAAAGTCCCAATATCATTATGAAACAAATTATACATATATTGTATTTATCTTACCCAGGTTTAGCAGTGGTCCCTCCCATTTGAAGAGTCTCTGTTGAGGAGCAGTTGCCAGTAAGAGCTTGCAGTAATGAGCCACAGCGCTGACCAGTAAACCCACCCTTCATTAGTGATTCAGCCATGTAGAATATACATCTGGATGGAAGAAGGAAATGAAATATAGACAAAAGACTAGGTCTTCTAAAGGTCTTTTGAACCTTTAGGAGACTCTAGTCTTTTTACTTCTACAATTTTCTTAAGACCTTTATGAGACTAGGTCTTCTAAAGACCTTTTAGAAGACCTAGTCTTATAAAGGTCTTTTGTCTATGTTATTGGAACTAGCTTTGTCCAGAAAATACACTCACGATACTATGATAAAAAATAGCCTTTGTGGTGTTCCACGAACTCTTCAACTATGACGAATTACGAGTTTAGTCGACCTTTTGGGGATAAGGTGGTTGGGGATTTAGGGATTGGAGAAGGGGAAGTATTGGGAAAATTTTCACCTTCAAAGGTTGTATTTAACTGCTCCAGTGTTTCGAGTGTCCATGATGGTCAATGGTGATGATGAAGGTCCATGGCGGCACTGATTGCTTACCATCAGGTGATCCGTCTCCTCGTTTGCTTACCTAACCCTTAGAGGATTGCGGGGTAAGCACAATAAGATACCTCAGCCTCAGCTTAGAGAAGGAAACGGGGGGGTTTTTAGTCAAAACCCCTGTTCCTTCTTCTGCTTTGGCTAAAGGCGTGGTGCCTTACTACGCTTGTTCCGCAACAAACAAACATAAATACGGTGGCCGGAAAGCATCTCAAAGAAGAACGTCTTTAAGTGTGAAAGAGCCACGCTTCGGCACGAATAGGTCGGCTCGACCAGAGTAATACCAGGCCTCACAGAAAGCCGACGAGAAACAACCACAGCGTTGTGTTTCGCTGATTGAGTGAGCCTCCTCTCCCCTATCCCTTCCCAATCCTTATATCCGCAACCCTTATCCCCAAAAGGCCGGCAACGCACTCGTAACTCCTTTAGTGTGGCCTTTTGCGTGTCCATGGGCGGCGCTAATTGCTTACCATCAGGTAATCCCTAAGAAGATAATTTCGTCACAAAATCTTAAACTCCTTACTTGTGGTGGCTGCAGTGCTTACTGGCACATCCAGGCATGTTGAATCCCCTATTAGGATAAAAGTCCACGTCTCCCAAAGGTCGGATGCGACCAGCGAAGCCCAAGTCAGTGTGTATCACCTCCGTGTATTTTCCATCAGTAGACTTAAATGCTGATGGGTTGATTATCCACCCGGGAAGGGCCGGGTCCAGGGCTGGAAGAAAGAAAGAAAGAAAAATTTATTCATTAAGAACACAGGTGTTACCAGATATAATAGTTGTGTACAGTTTTTTTTTTGTGAGGGGAAAATCATCAAATGACTTCTCCTGCCCAGGGCCGGGCGGGAGGGAGTGTCAGACTCTTACTGACTACAAAGCCCCCTGTTCCTTCTCCTGCTCTGAGCCGAGGCCGCGGTGCCTCATTGCGCTTACCCCGCAAACCCGGCTGAACATCAGCCCTATAGGGCCCCGTCTGTGGTGGTCTATTGGCTCTTTGAGGCGCGCGCGGAACACTACGCGCCGTACGCTCGGGTCTGGTTCTGGTCGGGCGGCGAGCTACCCTTACTCGCCGTCCGCAGATCTGCGCTTACGGTTGCCGGAGATCATCTCTCGATCCCCGACGCCCGGAATGTCGCCTTGTGCGACGGCTGGCTGCGCTCCGCCTCCTCCAGTTGTGTACAGTTCAGGCTGTATTCTGTCTATGTTAGGCGTGCAAATCTTCCTATTCTTATAAATGAAAAAGTTTACGATGTTTTTAAAGAACGTTGCCTCACAGTAGGACTTTATCATGGCGCATATGTGATCGCCATGTTCGAGACGACAAGGGATTACAATTTTCATGATAAATTAGATAGACCATCATTTGTTCCTTTTTATTAACAACTTGTCTCTGCATTGTTCTCACATAGGGGTACAGTAATGTATAAAAAATTATTATTGGTAAATTGTAAAACAATTTTTTTTTTAAAGAGTAACTATGGAGTTTCTTGCTCGTTCTTCTCCATTCGAAACTACAATTTGGAACGAGCACCTAGCTTCACTGACGAACAGACTGACAGACTACTATTCTATTTTGACGTTTCAAAAGTACCTATTTATGGTTTAGTTGGAATAAATGATTTTGATTTGATTTGATTTGATCTCTTGTGTCGAAGGTGCGGTTACAAACATTCAATTTCACATACACATCACACCCAGATCCGGAACAACAATTTGTTCACACAAAGAGTTGTTCTGTGCGGTAATCGAACCCGCGACAGGTTACACGGCAGCTCGAGTCCTTTATCGTTTGTTAGTGGTGTCTAAATAATCTAAGAAACTATGATAACTATAATTGAAGGAAAACATCGTAAAAACTTATTGGAAATGGACTTATAATTTCAAATTATAAGTTGGAAATCGCTTATCCGAATTGAGCAAGCATGGACATTAGTGCTCTAATCTTTTCCGTGTGAAAAGAGGCCTTTGTTCAGCAGTGGGCGCTTCTAGGCTGATGATGATTAATACAAAATGGCAAGTACCAATGTGACTTTTTCCGAGTTATATGTACTTATTATTATAACTTTCGTGAGACATTCTAAATTAATTATTGTGTTTTCGGCTTACTCACGTAATAATTTTGACGAGATACTCGACTAGTTTCAAGCCATGCTAGACGCCCATATTCTCGGCGACTGTCGCGCTGCTACTGGCTACTGAGTAGCCGAGTCGCCGAGTCGCGTGTCGAGGAATGCTGGTCATGAATATGGGCCTCTATAATTAATTTATATGTACTTTCTATGATTATTTAGACACCACTGACATACGGTGAAGGAAAACATCGTGAGGAAACCTGGGCGAAAAAGTTTACTTACCAGTAATGTACGCGACCTCTCCACCCAGGTTCCGGCCAATAATTCCAGCCTGATGTCCACCCAGACTGTGGCCAATGATGTGGTAGTTATCCAGGGACGCACCAGTCGAGGAGTTCAACCAGCTGATGAATTTGGCCACATGTTCCCCTGGAATCGAAGAGTGAAAGAATTATATTAATTCATCATTCATCCCCAAACAAACGCCGGCTTTCGTGGTCCTATTGTTTTTTTATTGTGTCTCGAATTACCACGATTAAAAGCTTAAAATCATTTAAAGTCGATGACAAAGCAAGGTCGTCAAATGAATAAGAAAACAAGAAAAATTAAAATATGAAATAGAAATAGAAATAGAAAAAGAAAGAGAAAGAGAAAGAGAAAGAGAGAGAGAAAGAGAAAGAGAAAGAGAAAGAGAAAGAGAAAGAGAAAGAGAAAGAGAAAGAGAAAGAGAAAGAGAAAGAGAAAGAGAAAGAGAAAGAGAAAGAGAAAGAGAAAGAGAAAGAGAAAGAGAAAGAGAAAGAGAAAGAGAAAGAGAAAGAGAAAGAGAAAGAGAATATTCGTTTGTTAGAAGCGCAATCGTTAATCCTGGCGCTCAACACTCTGTTATGGATTTGGTGACGTCATCGTCATACAGCTTATCATTTATTGACAACTAAACGTGCATAAATATGTCGGAGCATGGCAGCCAACGGAAGGGTGTCAACTAGATAGTCAAAAGAATTTGATGAGCCAGCCGTAACGAACTCGCTACGTCCGAAGGTAATGCATCAATGCAGCATTCAATGTGCAATGGAAGACGCTGAAAACGAGCCTTCATTCAGTACATTAGACAGATTTTTTTTTATGTGATTGGTCGGCAAACGACCATTCGGATTAACTGATGGTACGAGTAATAAGCAGTCAGCGTCGCTTATAGACATGAGTAATACCAGAGAATTTACGAGTGCGCTGATCCCTTTTCGGGATAGGGGGTTTTGGTCTTTAGCGATTGATCAAGAGAAACCAATACGGTAGTTTCCAACTAGTCAAATTAGTCAATACTTTTATCCTAATGTCAAAAACGATACTTTTCTATAAAATTCGTATGAAAAACTGAGTTTTGACATCAGAAAATTTTTGCGTCAAATAGCTTACTTATTTCTTAATAATTCGCTATAAAATATCTAAAACTTAGTGTATCGATAGATCGATGAATAAAAGTATAGTTATTTTTCATTATTTTATTGTATTGATATGTCGAATTAATTTATTATACATATTCCTTCCTCAAGAAAAACCTCTTAAGTCTGATATTTTGCCGATTAATATAAAAAGGGGCAATTATAATCTACATCACTACCTAGTTAACGATCTGTAATGACACTAATCATTGTAATAATTGATAGCCTAATTAGATATGGAGACAAAGTGTATCCTTAACCATTTTCCTCTTCATACGAAGATAGCGGATTTTTTTTCGTAATTTTTTAAATTCTTTGTAAATCGATAGATAGATTGATAGATAGAATATTCTTCATTAATAATAATAATTAATTAACTAACTCGTTGATAAATCTGCAAAAGAGCAGACGGATTACCTGATGGTAAGCAATCAACACTTCACCATTTTTTTTGAACGAAAAACCACCCGTTTTTAGTCAAATCGTAACATTCGGGAAATTAATTTAATGATTTTCATCGAAACGGCTTTCAGCGTCTATTGCAAGTCTGTTGCAATCTAGGCAAAACGTCATCGCATCATTTTGGATATCACACCGGCACACACGAAGCGATTCACCTCCAGTTTTATAATCAGAACCGCTAAGGAGTGGAATCCTTTGCCGGAGTCTGTGTTCCCCGAAGGGTGTAACCTGGGTGTCTTCAAGGCCCGAGTGAATAGGTTGCTTATGGGTAGACGTGCTCCATCGTAGGTCGCATCATCACTTACCACCTGGCGTGGAAGCGGCCAAATGCCTGCCCATTACAAAAAATACAAAAAAGCGAAGAAATTGCCCTAAAAAACCCTTTTTAAGTGTGGGAGTGCCAAGCTTTGGCACGAATGGGTCGGCTCGACCGGATTGATACCACGGCCTCACAGAATACCGGCATGAAACAACCCACAGCGTTGTGTTTCGCCGTGTGAGTGAGGTTACCGGAGGCCCAATCCCTCCCCCTCCCCTATCCCTTTCCGATCCTTATATCACTAACCCCTATCCCCAAAAGGCCGGCAACACACTCGTAACTCCTTTGGTGTTGCGGTTGTCCATGGGCTGCGCCGATTGCTTACCATCAGGTAATAAGGCTGCTCGTTGCCGACTTATACCATAAAAAAAAAGTCTGTTGATAACTATGATATGGACTCATCACTCACCTGATCTGATGCTGTTGGCGATAGCTACTATGTACATAGCGCCAGCTCCTATGCTCCAATCAACCATGATGAGGTTCACATCTTCAGCCACTAAATATGCTGGAAATAATATTAGGATTTTAATAATCTGAGGGTCTTCAAGACCCGTGTGGATAGGTTGCTTATGGATAGTCTAGATGGGGCCCTATAGCCAGGGTTGCGAGAAAAACGCAAGCGCGTTTTTGTCACTAAGAAACTGACACTACCTCTCGCCAGAGGTAGCTTCTCGAGAGAAATCAAGTGCGGCTAGAAATATTAGGATTTTCTCCTGTGTCGTGAGTGCTTTTACAAATTCACATACACATCACATCCAGACCCGAAACAACATTTTGTGGATGACATAAGGTGTTGTCCCTATCGGGAATCAGGCCCGCGACTGACCAGACTGCTCAGCAGCTGATTGCCCAGACACTGCACCATCATCATCAGCCTATAAGTGCCCACTGCTGAGCAAAGGCCTCTTCTCACACAGAGAAGGTTTGAGCATTAATCACCACGCTTGCTCAATGCGGGTTGGCGATTTCAAACTTACAATTAGAAATTATAAGTCCAGGTTTTCTCACGATCTTTTACCTTCACCGTATGTCAGTGGTGTCTAAATAATCATAGAAAGTACATATAACTTGGAAAAAGTCACATTGGTACTAGCCAGGTTTCGAACCCACACCCTCATGCATGAGAAGCGGGCTCCTTACCTTCCAGGCCACCACGACACTGACTGCACCAACTGCAGTCGAATCGTATTAAAGAAATATAAATTTCTTACCATGGATAAGATGAACATTGAAATCGTGATGAGGAGTGTTTCTCCATCCATGGACGAGGAAGACGGTCTTCTTGGAAGCGTCGAAGTTTGAAGCTGCGAGGATGTCCTGAACTCCTAGTACCAAGGGCTGAGAAACTGTAGGGTTAGATCTGTAACAATAAAACAATGAATTTATTTTTGCAAATAGGCCATAAAACGGCACTTTTACACGTCAAATTATATGTGTAAAACTATATGAAGTCGGCATTTCCTATCTGACTACTCTGAGAAGAAATGCCGAAACAAACTCAGAGGTCAGTTTCTTTTCAAGTCAAGACAATGTATAAATAACATAACGTGAGAGGACCGTGCAAGTTCATTCTGTAGTGGTCTTTTGATGAAAGAACCACACCAGTTTAAGTGGACCCGTCCTGAAGACAGGCACGCAAGTGTCAGTTTGCAACCAGTATAGCTAGTGCTGCTGAGTTGTCCGACGAACAATACCGATCAAAAGAACATTTGGGTGGGTCGCGCAAGTACTCAAACTGTCAGAACGCAGATAACTAGTAATCAAAAAGCGCGGCAAGTCTCACACGGTCCTTACACTAACAATAATAGAAAATAATAAAAATGTCAATAAATAAATAAAAATATGTCAAATAAAAAAATATCACAATAGGTAATAATGTCATTGTATAAAAAAAATATACGTAATGTCAAATTGTATATAAAAAAGTGCAACTTATATTATAAACATGTCAACATGTCCTGTGCAGACGTTACAGCGGCTCATTGTAGAACAAAATATATATTTAAAAATCCTCTATTAACTAGCTCAACTGTAGTTAAGTTGTTTGAAGACTTAATCACGTGAATAATCTGAGAAAAAGTCTACTCAAATCAAATCAAAGTCAAAATCGTTTATTCCAACTAAACCATAAATAGGTACTTTTGAAACGTGAAAATAAAATACGCCTGTAATAATGCCTGTCTACACAATTCGCGTTTAATATAAGTTTTAAATTTTCGTTCGTTAAGATTTAATACACTCCATGGAATTTAATTTACACAGATCCCCATAAAGGATTTCTGTACTTTGGACAGACGGAATCGTGGCACAGCCAGCCTATCTTTGCCTCTAGAATTAAAATTATGTCTATCGCTTCTTTTTTCAAATAATTGCAAATTTTTCCTTACTTCCTACTAGTTTCAACTCACAACCCTTATAAAGTTTAGTCCACACAAGTCTCTAAAATACTCATATATAATAAGAGTTTGATACTGTTACGTGCCTGACGTCACGTTCCTGACTATGCGGGCTTGGGTTACGGGATTGGATGAAATGAAACACTAATACCAGATTTCAGACTTTCTATTGCCCTTAAGTTACAGCGTCCACGGAGTTAAGTTATCGGCGTTCCTCTCCAGCAGAGTCCGGCCGACTGACACAACTTTGCCGTTCACGCTGACTTAACTCACTTAACTGACTGCACTTCACTATTTCACTGCACTTTTCTTCTTTTTCACTTCTTCCTTTTCTTCCGAATCGCTTTAGACTTAGAACTCAACTGCCAGCGGTGAGCCGCAGTTCCGCTTATATACCCCCGGTTCAGGTTCTGGAACATTCAATTTCGTTATTCTTTTTGATCGTCATGACTCCAGAACCTTCCAATAATTTCGTTACTCATTTTTATTTATTCTCCTTCTCGCTCTTTAATTTTTCATTTCTTTCACACAAATAATTCCAGAAAGTTCCACAAAACTTCCATCAACTAAAAAACTACATGTTTACGGCGGGACTCGAACTCGGGGTCTCTGTGGTGTAATCCACACGCCTTACCGATTACACCAACTCGTGTTGACAATTCACGACGAAATTTACAATCTCTAGGCAACGTTTGACAACCATCCATTGACGTCATGATGTCAAAGAGTTTGAACCACTTTTCCGTCACACTGCCCCCCTCTTAGATTCGCTCGTCCCGAGCATCGTTGCTGCCGTAATACCTCGCCAACCTGTCTATATGGACAACTTTCAAAGGGCTCCTTGAAGTCTTCCGAATTCTGTAAGTAATGTCATTGATCTTCGTGACTATCTCATAAGGACCTTCCCAACTCGGTTGCAGCTTCGGAGATTTTCCCTTCCTTCTGACTGGATTATGAAGCCAGACCAATGACCCCTCTTCAAACCCAACAGAATTGGCTCGTCGATCATAGCGCGTCTTTGCGCGATCACTAGCTTGAAAACCGGCCTCCCTGATCTGCTCATAAATGTCCAACATTTTTGCCCTTAACTCGCTTATGTAATCGCTAAACTCTGTACGAGAGTCGCCAGGTGGACAGCCCGATACAAGATCTGCCGGTAATCTCAATTCCCTTCCAAAATTTGCAAATGCAGGCGTCTTTGCGGTACTTTCATGTACAGCAGTCCGATAGGCAAGCAAGAAGAGAGGTATGTAAGTGTCCCAATCTCTCTGATGGCTGTCAACCACCTTTGCTAAGTGTCGCTCCAATGTTTGGTTGAAGCGTTCGACCATTCCATCTGACTGTGGATGATAAGGGGTCGTTCGAGTCTTATGGATTCCCAAAAGTTTACAAGTTTCCTGAAAAACTTGGGATTCAAAGTTCCGTCCTTGATCACTGTGCATCTCCAAGGGCACTCCGAATCGGGTGAATACCTCGTTTACCAACTTCGTCGCTACAGTTACTGCCTCTTGATTCGGTATGGCAAAGACCTCCGGCCATTTTGTAAAATAATCCATAACCACTAAAACGTAGCGATTGCCCGAATCAGTGATTGGAAATGGTCCAGCGATGTCTAAGGCTATTCTCTCCCAAGGCATACCAACATTGTAGATTTTCATCGCCCCCCTGCTCCTTGTTTGTGGACCCTTGACAGCTGCACAACTAGTGCATTTCCGGCACCAATCTTCGACGTCATATTTGCAATGCAACCAATAAAACCTCTCCTTGATCTTCACCAAAGTCCTCCTAATTCCCAAATGTCCTCCAGAAGATCCATCATGGAACGCTTTTAATACATCCCTTATTTTTGAACGAGGCACCACCAATTGCAAATGCTCGTCCTTGCCGTTTGTTGATTCCCATTTCCTGCACAGAAGTCCGTTATGCAGCGTAAGGCTTTTCCACTGTGCCCATAAACCTTTCGTTACCGCACTATATTGGGCGACGTCACTCCAACTTGGCTTGTTACCACTTCGTAGCCACTCCAGTATTGGTTTAATATCTGCATCTCTTTCCTGTTCTAATTTCATCGCATCATTTCCCCATGCCTCGTCAACAGTATCAGTCCTTATCACCTTAAGAAAAGCAGTTTCCTTCTTAGCACAATGTTTGCAATCTTCCACGCATGGGCGTCTCGATAATGCATCTGCGTTGCCATGAATTCTTCCGCCGCGATGTTCGATTTCAAAGTCAAATTCCTGAAGTTGTTCCAGCCATCTGGCTACTTGGCCTTCGGGATCCTTAAACTGAAGCAGCCATTTCAAAGCAGCGTGATCAGTTCTGATCAAAAATTTCCGTCCCAGTAAATACTTCTTGAAATGGTGCAGGGTTTTGACTACGGCCAGCAATTCCCTCCTGGTCACGCAATAATTCCTCTCTGGCTTGGATAGTGACTTGCTGAAGTAAGCAATAACCTTCTCCTGCTCACCATCGCGTTGTGAAAGGACACCTCCTATTCCAATATTGCTGGCATCCGTATCAACTACGAATATTCCTTTCGCGCTGGGATATCCGAGAATTGGTGTGTTACAAAGCCGTTCTTTTAGTTCTCGAAAGGCTTGCTCACAATCCTCGTCCCAAACAAAGGCACGTTTATCCTCTGTCAATCGATGCAATGGCTTGGCAATGTCCGAGAATCCTTTCACAAACCGCCGATAATACGAGCACAATCCAAGAAATGCCCGAACTTGCGTTTTGTCTTTAGGTGTTGGCCATTCCTTGACAGCGACAGTCTTGGCTGGATCAGTCTCAATTCCTCTCTCAGAAATAACATGACCTAGATAATTCACTTCGCGCTTGAAGAAAGAGCATTTCTTTGGACTCAACTTTAAATTTGCTCCACGCAGCTTGTCGAGTACCTTTTCCAATTTCCTTAGATGATCGTCAAAATCCCGTCCAACAATGATGATGTCATCGAGGTAAACTAGGCAGGTTTCGCCCAGCAGTCCCGCCAGCACCTGTTCCATCAAACGCTCAAAAGTTGCCGGTGCATTGCATAATCCAAATGGCATCACCTTAAATTGCCAGAGTCCCTTCCCAGTTGAGAATGCGGTCTTTTCCTTGTCCTTGGGATCCAAATCCACCTGCCAATAGCCGCTTTTCAGATCGAGCGTTGAAAACCATTTCATGCCACTCAATGTGTCAAGTGTGTCATCGATTCTTGGTAACGGGTAGCTATCCTTCTTGGTTACATCATTCAATCGTCGATAGTCTACGCAAAACCTCGTTGAACCATCTTTCTTCTTGACAAGCACGACAGGTGAACACCAAGGGCTAGAAGAGGGCTCTATCACGTCATTTTTCCTCATATCGTCAATCATTTCTTCAACCTCTTTCTCACGAGCGAATGGTATGCGTCTGGGCCTTTGACGAATTGGCATTGTATCACCTGTGTTTATTTTATGCTTCACCAAACCAGTTCGGCCAATATCACCATCGCTTCTTGAAAACACATCAGAGAATCGAAGAAGTAAATTTCTAGCTTTCATAGTCTCCACTTTTGTCAGACTTTTGTTTTCGTCTAAGATTTTCGTTACAAAGTCAATTCCCGTACTGTCCTTCTTCACAAGATTCTCCGAGCATTTTCTTATCCAGGCCACTTCTTCCAATACGCCCACAGGCTCTCCTTCTTCAATCGTAATTTTTGAATCACTGAAGTTGAATACCGGAATGCGGTTGACATCAGATGACCCCACGACAGTTCTTGCCGGTAGCCATGAGCTTACGTGTTCCGATTTATCAATCACAGCGCACCTTCGAGGTAAACTTCCTTCCTTCCTCCTAGGTAATGCGATTGGTACGAGAGTCTGTGATTTTGGTGCAAGAACAGTTCTTCTTAAACAGCAAACTTTTCCCAGGGTTCCACCCTTCATCGGAATTTCCTCAGTTCCACATAGAAAACTCCAGATTTTAAGTCGATGTTACA